GGTCTCACTACTTTTCGGTTTACCCAAGGCGGTTGTGAATCACAACACGTGTTGGCAATATAGTAACGTTTACCGAAACCGGAGACCTCCGGTTTGACGGATTGACTTGTAAGTATACCGTCTTGAAAAATAATTGACTTGAGCGACGATTGACGGCGGGTGAGCACACCGCGGCACACGTGATCCAATAATACATAATATATTTTGTCAGCCAGACACCGCGCAGACTTATATGTAGACCTGTGTATATAGTTCCAAGTATATAAGTACTTGCACAAGACCGGTGACGTGTTAACGTATACAACGATTTGTTTTTAAAAAATCGATCAGCACATAAAAAAACACCACGACGTCGTCGTGTCGGCGATGATAGCGTATAATCCTCTAAACAATATTTCCTTATAATAATATTACTATGACGTATCTTAGGACAATCTTAAGATCATGGGCCGTCGCGTACTACCGCACAGCTGAAAGAATATTGTGACCCACACTGCAAAAGCAAGTACTTTGGGTAAACAACGATTTAAAAAGTTGTTGTAACAAATCGAGTTTCGTTTGCATAGAGTTGTTTTCTATTCAAATCTTTAATATAAACAGGGCAAGATGTTTTTTAATGTACGGTTTTAATACTAACCTAACCGCCACCACGTGGTACAGGTAGGGTTAAGCGGGCGAATGTAAAAGCGTTTTTTTCAAATGTCAGTAAAAGTATTGAGTTAAAAGTAATTGTCGACGGTATCTAAAAATAGCTTCACTACATATGTTCTGTTGTATAACGGTATTAATAAAAAAGATCCAATAACATGCGATATTTCTACAAAATATATTTGCATAAAAAAACAAACCAGTAAACTTGTGAAATACAAAATCATTTTATGATTGTATAAGTGTTGTATATGTGTATAAGACGGGTTACGCACCATGGCTGTGGTGTACAGCTACTTGGAGTATATACAATTATTTTATACAAAAATAATATAAGTTATGTGAAAATTGTTAATGTATGATAACATTATATGATATGTGAACGTTTCAAATGAATAACGATATAAATTACAATGACACTGACGATTATCCATACTAGAAACAGCGGCAGAAATACCATGATAGTCAGTAGTTTCAGGAACAGTGCATAAGAAGTCAATATAAGTATCAAAGGTGCAATAGCCGTGAGTAAGAGTACCAGTATGACAATACTAGCAAAAATCAGCACAATAGCTACTGCACTGACCACAACTCCGTAACACACCTTTGCGAATAGGCCTTTGCCCATTTCTCGGATGCCAGTCAGAAAGGTCGTTCCAACAACCTGTTAAATAGATTTAAAGAATACAGCGATAGAGTTAAATTCAACAATTAATTTTAAAATTACAAGTTCTGGTCGGTGGGGTAGGTATATAACTGTTAAAAACAAAATAATATGTAAATTTCTATGAGAAGTTTATTACCTGTGTGTCGACCTGCAGGATCGGCAAATTTGGTTTTCCAAATTCAATAAGTGAAGTTCTGTCAAGGTTTTTGACTTTGGGCAACACCATGCCAAAACCCGGGTAGGAAATCATATGTACACTGCAGTGCAAATGGCGGCTGTCCATCGTCAAATTCCAACTGACTTGTTCTTCCTTATATAACTTTTTGAGAGAGGTATTTTATATTTTAATAGATTTCGGAGAAACTTTTAAGCGCAAAATATTTAAATTTCTATGAGAAGTTTATTACCTGTGTTTCGACCTGCAGGATCGGCAAATTTGGTTTTCCAAATTCAATAAGTGAAGTTCTGTCAAGGTTTTTGACTTCGGGCAACACCATGCCAAAACCCGGGTAGGAAATCATATGTACACTGCAGTGTAAATGGCGGCTGTCCATCGTCAAATTCCAACTGACTTGTTCTTCCTTATATAACTTTTTGAGAGAGGTATTTTATATTTTAATAGATTTCGGAGAAACTTTTAAGCGCAAAATATTTAAATTTCTAAGAGAAGTTTATTACCTGTGTGTCGACCTGCAGGATCGGCAAATTTGGTTTTCCAAATTCAATAAGTGAAGTTCTGTCAAGGTTTTTGACTTCGGGCAACACCATGCCAAAACCCGGGTAGGAAATCATATCTACACTGCAGTGTAAATGGCGGCTGTCCATCGTCAAATTCCAAATGACTTTATGTAGTCCTGATTGGCTCATTGTTCCAATCAACACAACGATCATCAACACAAAAACCGTAAAATACAGTTCATACATATTGTATTAGCTGTAAGAAATCCTTCGAAACAGGAAAAATTAGCAAAAACGGTTCGGAGAAATATGTTGTTTTACACTGAAATGGTGCGGTGATACAAATGTAATAACAGTTACGTTATAAACAAGCCGTTTTTAATACACATGTTACCTATATTAGTAGTATTTGCCAGCATATATAAATATATAGAATGTTTTTTTTAAAAAACATATGTTCTACTTTTTACCGTTAAAAGTTCCGAAGTGTATTTTACACTTGTTGTAGGTATAATATGTTAGACCTATCTTCAGACTTATAAGAAAGCCAACGCTCGGTTGAGGCTGTACATAACAAATCTATTACAATTTTGAAATCTTCAAAAAAAAATATTAATCATTGTCAATGGTGATTTGAAATAATCTATTGGTATGATAGAAGCCCAGTGACACTCAAGTTTATTTTAGTAATATCCTACGGCCGGGGAAATCATCGGTTCAGAAACAATAATTTTTATAAATAAATGTGTGATAATTATTCTAAAAAAAAACCTTTTTGAAGAATGTGCATAATATTCTATTTTTGGACTTTGGTAAGTACAAAGTTGATCGTCTGTCTACAATAGTAACAAGTCACTTTATTTCTAGGAAAATATTAATATTTTGAAAAACCGTGATTTCGTATTCTTTTTGGTTCATATTTTACTATATTTTTTCAATACTGTGAAAATTCTTAACTTCATCCCTTATACGTTAAAAGATTAGTGACTTCATTTTTCCAAATGAGAACAACTATTTTTAACTCGATACAAAAGCAGTAAAAAATTAAATTTTACTATCGTCGTTAGATTTTTAATTTTCATTAATCGGGTCGTTACTTATTACGTTTTTAAGTCTTGAAGTTTTGATCAATATTCCTTTGGGATTTCAACACAGGTAGCATTTTACTTGCTGTTAAATAATATTATCAGCCCCGTCGTCCGTCGTTAAAACCGATAACCAGACACTAAACACTCACTACATATTTTTGAGATTTGAGATAATATTATGCCCTGGCTACTAAAGATTTGGAAATGTTACCATCATCAATGAACATACTAATATTATTTTTCCAACCAAAAAAATCCATAATCAATGCCAATAAAACCCATATCGTTATTATACATTAAAAACCAAACGAATAGATTACAAAATATGTTATTTTATAAGGTTTGAAATGTTGTACACAAAGACTTACATAATCTATTCACATACATTAGTAATTCATTTAACTAGTATACAACTTAACTATTAAAATGATGCAAGATAAAACAATTTTTTTTCGAATATAATTTATTTTAATTTAAAATTTCCAAAATCTAAATATACTATGAAAACTATCAATCATCTAATTATTTTCCTTGATTTGATCATCAAGGAGATAGACTGGATTGTCATATTTGTCAACTTCATAATAATTTCCATCAAAATCCGTTCAAACCTAGACCAAACTCAAGAGAATTTTGTCAGCAATCAGAATATATGGTCAAATTGCCCATTTGTGTGATTAAAATTGTCAACACAACATACACCAACGCCATGACACTTTCTGTTATCAAATATTGCTGGCTCGTTTATGGCTAACTTCACACACGTTTATATTATTTGGTAATTGGTATATTTTACTATCTCAGTGATTACTGATTTTATCTATGGCCGTTGTTTATCACAGAGCCTTGTGGAGTAAACACAGAATAACCAGAAGGGAAACCTAGGCTATGACTGATAGGTGCCCGACTGTTTGTTTAAGCAGATGTACAATTATCATATTTCTTATTTCCTGAGCCACAAAAACAATCAGTCAGCTTTTTCTGCGGCTCATAATAACCCTTGTCATTTTTTTAAAGTTTCCCTTTATTTATTGTCATTTATCAATGTCTTTAATAACCATTGAGAGATGAAGGGATACGGGCAAAGGCAATCAGATTTGTTAAGAAGTTGCGCGTTGAAGGGCTAAATAAAAAGACAATTTCTTTAGTGTATGATTTAATGGGTCAACTATTGACTATATGTATGTACATTACTAAAGGGACATAACAGCGCTTAAAACTGCAATTTCAATTTAATAGAAAAAAAAATATTTTAAGCTGTGACCAATCTAAAATATTTATTATCAATGGTAAAATTTACAGAGCTAAAATTATTTTCTGTGCGGCCGTCGTGCTAGGGTCAAAACGACCGTAGTCACATTTAGTCAAACTTTGACTCAGGTAAGAAATTAATATAAGTCACATTTTATTTAAGTGTGACCAAAAATCGCGTGAATAGTGGAGTTTATATAATAGTTTCAGATTTCAAAGAACCACCTCACTAAAATTTTATTTTCCAGTCAGGTAGTATGTTTGAATAGAAATATAACATGGTAAGACTGGTGGTTTTTTAATGAAGTTTGGTGATGATATTAATTGATAAATGCCATGAAACATGTCGATCAAATTTTCTTTAAAGAAATAATTTGTTTTGCATATTTTGTATGACAAATAATATGGATATATCAATAACAATTTAAAGAAAAAAAAGTACCTATATTATATAATATTATATACATATACATATACAAATATTTTAACCAGATTTTTATTAATAACATATTTTATATTTTATTTTTAATTATTAGAATTACAACAAAAAAAAATGTATTCACACTAAACTAGTTAATTTGGTTTTTGAAAAACAATAAAAATTACTGATACAAGTTCCAAAATTGAAAATAATATCAATTTTAAAAACATAAATGAACTTGAGTCTATGCATATACTAAGTCAAACATAGTTTGACAGAAATGGTAAAATTAGAAAAACTTTAATCATTAACATATATTTATTAATACAACTATAATTTTCTTTCACAGAACATATTATTTGCATTTTTATGTTTAAAAACTACAATGTCTAATACACTTTGTATACACTTTACTTAAATTTTATTGTAATATGAGTTTTAACAAATATATTACAACTGCCATTAACTAAGTTCAAAACCTGCACCTGATTGTATTGCATATAAAAGTTTTTTTTTTAATGTATCATAGTCTTTAAATACTGGCATTTTTAATAAATTCATACAAGTACTGGCAGTTGGTAAGCGATCAGAAGAACTCACTTTTTGGATGCAAAATGGTGGATATAACTCCTAAAAAAAAAAAAAATAATAAACATTATACTTAGATAGTTGAACAATAAATTATGTTTAAAATACCTTAATGTACCTAATAATAGTGTATACACATTAGGGGCCAGAATAAAACCAAAATACTTGAACGGAATTTTCAATTTAGTAAATACAAAGGATAAATGTTAATATATTCAGTATAATATTGTTTAATAAATTATGTGTTATACTTTAAGAATAGTTGAAATTCATTAAAATCACTTATTGGTTCATATACAACCCCTTAAAAACAGCCTGTTTAAATCACCTTAAGTATTAGCTTTAGATTTTAAACTTTGATATCAGTTTCAACCTAAACCATCATCACTTGAAAGTCTGCCCCAAACTTCTTCATAATATTTTTTTGATATTTCCAAGTTCAAGTTAGTCCATATTTTAATTTTAAAATAATATGTTGTGTAAAAAACCATATATTCATGGGGGTCAAATAGTTTCCAAATATGTGTCGCAAACGACTTAGATAATTAATATAGACACGCGAGTACGATAAAAAACTATTTCAATTGCGATAATGTAAGACTTAACATGTATACAACAGCTACACAACTTGAAATAAGAGCTCTTTTAAATGACATTTCTACATAAGTTTCCCCCTATGCGACCGATAGAAAGTTATTTATTTCAGACAAAATGTAAGAAGAATTCTGTTTCATTTGAAAAGAATGTTATCTGTACGTAAGATGATTTCTTAATACTCAAAAGAAATATACTTACTTTGAATCCCAGGAGTGGAGGTCGAGAACAACTAGTTACAAACTTTAAAAGTTTCGTTTTCTGTTCATCTGTGAAATCGTTTACGACAGACCAAAATAATTGTATGACAGGATCTTCAGGTGTATAACCACCTACGTAATTTGTATGCTGCTTTAAGTCATCTATATCTACTGGAACTTCAGCACCAGATATTAAAACTTGTACTTCATGATTACTAAACATGTGCAGCCAGTCCAATGGAATTACATTTGCCAAACCCTTAAAAATAATTAAATGTCATTACAATAATATTCAACAAAAAAATTAAATAATGTTAAAATATAAAAATCAGAAAGCTTAATAGGTTTACGGGTCTACTGGTTTGTTAGTAGTCAGCAATTTTCCTTTTGCTATTACACCACAGAATTAACTATTGCAAAGTAATAGATAATTTGTATTTATAATTTATTACTTGTTTGAAAAAGTAGCATTGTTTCCTTATTTGAGTGTTCAGTTTGTAATCAGCCATTAAGTGAATGTACTCAATTCGGTTTTGATTGGTTACTGTTATATTGGCACCATTTGGTTTTAATTCTTCAACTCGTGTTTGACCAAATTCATCAATAACAATTGTGAAATCCAAACCGAGATCCACAACGTCACCATCGTAGTTTTTCAATGATAACAAATTTCTATACATAAGTGGATCTAATGATGCTAAATGGTGTACATCGACTTCAGTTTGACGGCCAATAATTTTTGACAAGAAAAACTCGGCTAAAGGCAGTTCAACTAATAAATTTTCATATAGTGCCTATAAAAATAAAATATCAGTTGGATTATTACTATATTGTGAACAAATTAATAATACACACTTTTCCTAGCATTCTGCCAATAAAAAAGTAATGGGCAGCAAAGTTTTGTTGAATTAAATGAACATATGGATTTGGATACAGCATATTATCATTTGTCATTCGGAAAAATCCACGATTAGGATCAAAAGCTGTTTTAAGAAGCTCAGATAAAAATTCTCTCAGTAAGCCGCCTCCATCTACACCAGCTTCATCTAACCCAGCGGCACTTTTCATATGTACTCGTAACGTTTGTCGTATTTCTGGTTCTTAGAGTTAATAAATGAAAAAAATAGATTTAATAAAAAAGTGCCTAAATGTTTAGTAAGTTGATAATAGGAATGTTACCATTTTCAATAGATAATTTTTCAAAAGCGTCTTCATACAAATAATTTCGTCTAATAGTAATGTGAATGTTAGGACCAGCCATAAAATGTCCATCTGTATTTTGATATTGCACTTTATCATTCATCAATAATCCTTGGAACACTACAACTCTTTCTTCAAAGGGTAAAACAAATGGTATTTCTCTTAAAACTGTCAGAATTCGCACTTGACGTGTTGTTAGGGGTGGACCTTCATCTAAAATTAAGATACGTAGTATAAATTTGAATACAAATTATAGACTTTTAATTCAATATAATTATTTATATAAACTACAATACCTAAGTTGTCCATTGATATTACGGGAATTCCTCTAAATGGCCTATAATTATGTCTAGATCTTCTAGAATACTGTACAAAGTGCATATTAGACGGTTTATCATAAGCAGAGTTCATTGTCAAACGATTTGATACCCAATGACCTTCTGGGCAAAATCTACACCGAAGATCTCTTGAATGAAGTTGTCGCAATATAACAACTGTTACCTGTTATAACACATGGTTTTTTGAACTTTTTCGTATTATAATTTTATTTTAATCAATAATTTTAGTTATTTACCTTCAATAAATGTGACCAGATCGAAGTTTGAGCATTTTGATTGTTAGTCTTAAAAGATAAAATTGATGGTCTCGTATCAGGATATGCTAATTCTATTAGGCCTAAAGCAACATCTTTTAAAATAGATGTAATTGAAATAAGGTCAGCTGCAGTAAACTTCAACGGATTTCCAATGTTATCTTCTAAAATTTTTTTTAAAAATAAGCCAAATAAATTGCCGTTCATACAATGTATATACAGAATACAATTAATAAAATGTAACTAATTACCAGAACTATTCCCAACAGCTTTATTAAATTCTGCATCGTGTAACGTAGATATTAGAGAGCTAAAGAGCGAGCAAAATGTTGCTAACAATGGCACAATACGATCAAAATCACCAGGAGCCAAATTTGTACCTCTCGATATCACCGTTACTAAACTAGTAGTAACTGAACTAGGTCCAAAAAGTGATTGTTGTTCAGTTCTCAAAATGGTTATCCATAAATGTTGTAAAAATTCTGCCTTAAGTGCTAATGTATATAACAGCCTGTACAAGAATATATTTTTAGTAATACAAATTAAATCCTTCCATAGTCGGGCTGAACAATATACATTGAAATTGTGTTAAATATTGAGTTTATTGTTTAATTAATATCTAAGTCTATAACAATCATGTAATTCATTTTTGAAAACATTTTGATTACCTATATTTATGAACAGCAAGTTTGTGAGACATCAGCAAATAGTGGCATAATTTGCAAATAGGTTCGAGTAAGAAATTTATAGATGACGAAGAGCATGATTCGTCTACTGCATTAATTATTCTCTGTACTCTAAATGATGCGTTTAATAGGTCTGAACACAATTTCAAAACCTGTCTGATAAAAATAAATTAATTTAAAACGAGAAATAAATTTAAAATTAAGAGCGTTGTTGAACCTATATAATAGTCGTATTTCAAGATTTTTTAGAAAAGACAAAATTTATATTGATTACAAATTTTAAAAAGTATGAAATGTTATTTTTTTTAAACTGATTTCTGAGAAACAAGTACAAATATATTGTTACTTACAGAAATGAAATTTGATAAATTTTTGTACCAGTTATTTTATTTAGATTATTAGTAATACCATTGATTAAAAATAATATTATTAATAATAATCTATTATTTATTATCAATGGTAATACATATAAAATAGATTATGCAGAAAATGTGTAAAAAAATCTAAACATATTGTTATTATAATAACACTCTTCACAAGCAACTTTGATAAATTTAACAAGTTATTTTGACTGCTTACAAATAAAAATGAAAGGTCTACAACGCTTTTAAAAAAATAAAACATGTTGGGTTATTGCCTCAAGTTCATTCTCTAAATAACCACTAAATGGTTTTTCTTCTTCGTCCGATTCATCTTCTGAACTATCTTGGTTAGCACTTCTGTGTCTCCATGTTTTATTTAAATATTCAATAACTGGTGGCTCTGCTAATCGACTAGTTAATGAAGACAAGATATCCAAATAGTCGTTAACTGCATTTACTTCCCGACCAGTTGTTTTACATTTCATAACTACGTACATAATATGTTATTCATACTTGGAAATATTTCATCATTAAAATAATAAATTATAAAAGAACTTACTGAATGAATATTGTTCAACTGAAGGTTCAAGTATTAATAAAGAATAAAATAAATTTGTATTGGGTTGAAATTGGATAGGAGAATGAGTAAGTGACATGACTAGTTGTCTAAAGTCTGGTCCAATATAATCGGGCTGGTTTTGTTCTAACGATAAGTTTGGTAAAATAAATTTATGGTTTATATCTGATATTGGTCCTTTAAGAAATGTCCGCACAAAATGATCCATAATAATTGAACTAAAATTTAAAATATCATAAGTATGTATAAACACTAATAGCTTTGATTGAAATTAACTACATATGCCTAATAAAATGTAACTTACGTGTATTCATCTATAAATGTTGGAGAGCGTACTGAAAATGGTCTTTTAACAAATTCTAAAATACTTTTTGCTAATGGTGGAGCTGGTGTATCTTCATCATCAAACATTGAAGGAATTTTTGTGTCAAGAATTTTACGCAAACTATCAAAATAGCATTTTGTAACCAAATACTGGAACAGCTAATTAACACAAATAATAATTGTTATTTATTTTTATAAATTGAAATGGTTGAATGAGATGTGTTGAACACATTTTTACATAAATATACTCACATCGCGCAGTGCAAGTATAGCATCATCTGTACCAAGCAACTTTTTATAAGAATCTACTGAAGTCAGCTCTTCAATAATTCTTAAGGGTGTTGCAAATGATTCCAAACCAGAAGAATTCAACAAATTAATATTAAGTGATAGAATCCATTTTATATGCCAATACCAAGAAGAATTTTTATCTAAACTTGAACGCAAAAGTGTTGCACTATTCCGTAAGACATGCTGAGACAGCCATAACTGAAATATACATTAGGAAATTATTAATGTGAAAAAGGCTCTTAAGCCGGTGACTATAAACTATTTGTTAACCCGTAACTGGTGTAAGTATGGTGTAGTCTCACGCACCGTTAGACAACGTAAACCTTATCACGCTTTTTATCACTGTACCAGTTATGGGAAGTTTGGGTCTGACCAGTCGCCTAAGGACAAAAACCTTCCGCCCACCAGGCGTCTATCGCGGTAAACGCGTTTAGAATGGCGAAACTCATACTGTAGGCCCGGGGCCCAGCAGACCTCGGTCTGTGCCCGGGACTGAGGCCCCAACGTCTTCTGGAGCCTCTGAGCTGGAGTCGTGGGGGTTGTAGTTTCGTTAGGTTAGGTGCTAGTAGCCTTTAGGCTAAGTCACCGAATAGATATACTTCATGTATCAATTAAGGGTTAAAGGGCAAAATACAGGCCATATTTGACAATTAATTTGTTTTACTAAATTTCAATCATATCACCTAATTTATAGAATAAGTTTAATTACCTTCAGGGGATTATTTTTAACATATACTATTTTTTTCTATGAGATGTACTCATTGTGGTGTCAAAAATTACTTAGTGAAAAAAAATGTGCAAATCTACAGCATTCAAAAAATAAATTTTGAAAATGAGTTCAATTCTGATTTTTTTCAGCCATCTCGCTTTTTCAAAAAAAAATTACCATTTTCAGACTACTTTAGAGGTAAGAAACATTTTTCAAAAAACGTGTTTTATGGCAAAAAAAAAAGTTGCACGCAGATTACTTAATAAATAAAGTTATTTTATTTAATAATAGTATAGGTAATAAGTGTTAAAATATATATGGTAAAGTTAGAAATAATACAATAATTATCAACTTACGAGTCTTTGCGAGTCAGTTTCTCTATTATGAAAGAAAATTAAATTTGTTACGAGATCACTCAATAATTGCTGAGATGGTTGCTTTTTCTTCAGTTCTAAAACAGTGTTATCAAATAATTTCCTGTAGTGTTGTTTAATTTTTTTCCTTGCTAAAAAACTCCTAACACATGATTGTACTTTAATTATACGGTGTTGTTCACGTCTTGCTTCCTACAAACAACAATAATTTATTATTTTACAATTCTTAACTAGATATCTAAAGGTATTCCTTGTAGATCTTACTTCTCTTTTTTCTCTTTCATAACGAGCTCTTTGAATCAAGTTACTAACAGGTTCATGTATACTAGCTCCAGCATAATTTTGTTCTGGTTTTCTACGAAATTCACCCTCGAAACTATACATTATTGAGTTTTCACTTAAATCGAATTATATTTTGTCATTATAAAACGAAACTTGTTAGAACGGTTTTAGATACTTTTTTATGGAAAAAAATATAACTACAATATAGGTATGTTAAAGAAATTGTGTTTTTAACGTTTTTTTTTTTTACGAATCACGAAATTCTGCTAAAATACTACCTACGATGTTAGGTACAGGTTTTTGTTATTTATGTAGAAAACTACTATAAAAGTTGATAAATGATATTGTTATTATCTTATTATCAGCAAGTATGACTGGGCCTTTTATCATACTTTATTCGATGATAAGCGAAAAAGTTATGTTTACAATAATATAAAAAATGTACTGATAGGGAACATGGTAATTTTGAACCTTTTCTCTTTCATTTTTTTTTAATTGTGTTTTTTACGTAAAATCATTATAATTAAAAATATGTTTGAAATTTAAAAAATTAATAATGTTAAGTGAATTAAAATTGAATAAATAAACTATTATAATTTTGTTTAATGAAAATGGATTATGATTTAAAGTTTTTAGCCGTTGTGTTGTCTACACTGTATTCAAGTTTGTTTGTCGCTTCCCATGTCTAGTTTTCAGTTTGTGAATTATGTTGAATCTCTTACCAACCCATGTCCCCATAGGCCATAGTAATATCTACTAGTTATTTTCCGACAACTCCTCGCCATTCGGCGGATTTTAAAAGTAGGCTAATCAACGATACGTTAATTAAGTAATATAAATTGATAAATTTCCAAACGTTATTCTAATTTCTACTATTTGAGTAAGAAATAAGTAACGAAATACTGATAATTAACAGTATGTTTAATTTATGTAAATTATGAATTTTCGACGTTTTAAAATTATTTTAGCCTTATTTACTTAATTACATTTTAATAAATTTTATTAATGTTTATTGTTACCTATAGGTTAACGAGAAAACGTTAGTGATGGCAGACAGTGATGATGAATATGATAGGAAGCGGAGAGATAAATTTCGTGGCGAACGTACAGAGTCAGTAAGGGGTAATGATAATCGTAGAGATGAACGTCGAGTACGGGATGATTGGAATGACAGGTAAGATTGTTTGTTTGGACCAAATTTTATAGTATAAACTGATCTATATTATAGTTTAAATCATTACCAAATGTATTATGTATATTTTAAAATTTTAGATATGCTTAGCGTTAAGTATTAATGTAAAAATGTAAAGCATTTTGTACTAATCAATATATTTAAAGTTCATGCAAATCCAAATATAAAAGAGATCTAAACCTGAATAAAAATTGTTTAAATTCAACAATTTAAACAAATATTATATTGTAAATCAATGGAATTTTTGTTGTAGTTTAAAGTGATTACTAAAATCTTAATAACTGTGTAATTATTTTGTTTAGCCGCTTCATGAAAGACTTCAGGTACATACAATTATTATTATAATACCTATTGTATTCATTTACTAGGTATTTAATAATTAATTTAATTAAGTATATAGATTGATCAATTTTTAAATAAATAATTTAATTCATATTCATTATCAGTATCCATAATTTTCATAAGTAATTTTTTTAATATTTTAACAATTGTGATGCATACTATTTTATAATACTTATGGGCATTCTTACCAGTTTCACTTCACATTTTAATAAAGCTTAGCTTATAATGTACTTAAATTTAAAGTGAACTCAAGAGTAGAACGGTCATTAGTATTTAGTTTCAGTTAAATTTTATTATAGAAAATTATGTCATTAAAATAAACATAATGTAATAATTAAATGCAATTTAATTTGTCAATCAATTTACTTAATAAAAAAATTGTTTTTATTTATTTACCTAGTATCACTTCATAAGTTTTTATTGTTTTTACCATATCATGTTAAATTTACCAAAATCATTAAAATATATGCACAAACTTAGGTTGTTAATGTTATCTTTTCATTTACTTTGTAGAGAAACTTGGGGAACTCGAAATCGAGGTAGAGGTGACTTTAGAGGACCCATGCGAGACCGTTATAGTCCTGGTACCCAAAGAGACTTGTCGCCTCCAGTTAAGCGAATGAGACCAGACTGGTAAGCTAAACATAATTTTGCTTTTTAATAATTAACTAATGTTATAATTATAGTATATAATAGCTATATATTATAACATATGTAATAATACATTATAATTTTTGTACGAATTGATTAAAATTTTAACATTTGTTTCAAACGTTACAATGAACAGTTTAATTTCATAATCAGTTTTTTTTAAAACCTGAAAAAAATGTTCTTGTTATGTGGTTAACTTTCAACAATAAAGATTTCTATTTTAATTTCAGGGATGATAGACGAATTGGCTACGATCCACCAGCGTATGGCTATGGAGGTCCATGGGATCAGCCAGCACATCATATGCCTCCTGTTACGAGGTAATAGTTATTAATACAAATGGATTATACTCCATTTAAGGCTATCCAACGCCAATATAACCCAATATTTAATTTATATTTGTATTTTGTAAAATTAAGAGCTTGAACTAATTTTATTTTAGAACTATACCGATGAGAGATCCAGGAGCACATACCCTTAACCATGCCCCACCGGCAGTAGATCAATCATCGGGAGATACTCAGCCACCCATGATGTCGTTAAAAGCCTTTTTGATTACTCAAGATGATAACATTACAGACGAAGAAGCTTTAGCCAAGTACAACGAGTATAAATTACAATTTAAAAGAAACCAACTTAATGAATTTTTCGTTGCTCATAAAGATGAAGAATGGTAAGAACAGGTTGAAATATTTTGAGATAAATTTATATTTACCATTGTATAATTTATAGGTTTAAAATAAAGTATCACCCCGATGATAGTGTCAAGCGTAAGGAAGAGCAGACTATTGCAATTAAAGTTAGTAGATTGACAATTCAATTGCTTACTTATGTTAATTAAAAATTAAAAATATTTACTATTAAGCATATTTATAACTTTTGTGTATTTAACAGAAGCGTTTAGAAGTTTTCAAAGAATTTTTAGCAAAGAACAAGATTGATGGTATCGTTGTGGATGCAGATAATCCTGATCCGCTTGTACTTCTTTTGGACTCTGTAGTAATTAAACTTGAAGGAGGCACAGATTTTGACTTGACAGTTTTAGATCCTGTAGCACCACCTAAACCAAAACTCGAATCTGACTCTTCAAAGAAATCAGAAAAAAAGCCAGAGTAAGAAATATATTTATATACTTTTAATTTATCACCAAGCAAGTTACTCTGTATTATTCTAGTGATGGCGGAACCTCAGATGGTGAAGTTGACAGTGACAAAGAGGATAATGATGATAACGATAAACAAACAAACCCTAATGAAGGTAATTTTTGAGTTTATGTTAAAATTGTAAATACATATTTTTATAACTGAAGAACCTGAGTAAGAAACGTAATACCCAAATGCGTCTTATCATTAACAAAATTTAAGCAACGCACAATTATACAAATTATGTTGCTTAATCATAATTATTTGTCATGCTTCTTTGTAGATAATATAATATGTATATCATATCATCAGAAAATAATTATTAGTAGATGTATTGCTAGATAAAGGGTATGGAGAAAAAACCACAAAAGTCACTTTTATTTTAATCTAAAAAATTGTTATTTGAGTTTTAAATCAAGTTCGTTTTGTATCGGAACAAATTTTATAACAACAATATGGCCATTTTAAAAATGTCTGTTTTGCCTGTTTTTTCCCTGTATCCTTGAAATATAATACTTTAGACTGTAGTTATGACTAATAATACCTTATTACTATAACTGTTTTATAAACATAAAAAATAATACTATTTAAATAGATCAAAAAGACAAAGATGGAGAGAAATCAGAAGAAGTAATGGACATAACAAATGATAATGACCAAAATGTATGAAATACAATAGTATGATTTAATATAAACTCAACTACAATGTGATAAACTATTATTAAATGAATTGTTTCTCTTTTCACAGGATGACGTAGCTAAACCAAAAGCATTACATCGTACTACATCAGTATTTCTAAGGAATTTAGCTCCTACCATTACAAAAAATGAATTAGAAGCTGTATGTCTGCATATATATATAACACTCAATAATTATGTCATAGAATATATTAAATTTGATTAAATTTGTTTAAGATTTGCAAACGTTATCAAGGTTTCATGAGATTGTCTATAGCTGATCCATTACCTGAACGCCGATGGTTTAGACGCGGATGGGTGACTTTCGATAGAGATGTTAATATTAAAGAAATCTGTTGGAATCTTAATGCAGTTAGAGTGAGCTACATTTTTTATTATTTACATATTAGTGGTTGGCGTGTAGACTAAATGCCAAATAGAAATGATTGTGTAAAATTTGATATATTATTTTTATTTTTAATAATCGTAATTTTTATACTGCAGTTACGTGACTGTGAGTTGGGTGCTATTGTCAACAGAGATTTGAGCAAACGAATTCGATCAGTAAATGGAATAACCAGTCATCGACAAGTAGCTCGTAATGATATGAAACTATGTGCAAATATCATTAACAACTTCGATAATCGTTCCGGCCTTTGGCAAAAGGAAGATGATAAACCGACTGAAAATACTTATGGTGTTGTTTCTCGTAATCCTGTTTTACAAAACATAACGGATTTCTTAATTGAAGAAGCGTCTGCAGAAGAAGAAGAACTATTAGGAGAAAACGCTGCTTGTGAACCCGAAGATAATACTGATAAAGATATGCAATTGTTCAAGGTATTTTTTAATTGAAATTAAATTATACTATTTTTGTATAAAATAAAATAAATTGAATAAATTATTTTTGTTAATTTTTTTTTAAATTGCTCAATTTCTGTTATAGGCTTTAGATAAAATGTTACTCTACTTACGTATTGTTCATTCAGTGGATTATTATAATCACAGTGAGTATATAAATGAAGACGAGATGCCAAATAGGTGTGGTATAATGCACGCTCGCTGTACACTTCCAAGTAATCCTGTGAGTTAAATTAATCACAAATAAAATTCAATAAGACTTGCAATATAATACTATTCTTTTTTACACAGCCAACTCAACAAGAAATTACTGATTATTGCCAAAATTTTCAATCTAAAGTAAGCTCTTTGACCAATTTAACGCCTATTGAAATAAGCGAAAAAGAATTAATTCAACTTGGAGCTAAGCGCGAAGAAGAAGAGATTGAAAAGTTTGTAACTGCTAATACTCAAGAAATATCTAAAGATAAGTGGTTATGCCCCTTGTCAGGAAAAAAATTCAAAGGCCCAGATTTCGTGCGCAAACATATTTTTAACAAGCACATAGACAAACTAGATGATGTTAAAAAAGAAGTAAGGCATTTGTTTTTTACATTTAAAAAAAACCTTTACTCTCTACAATATTTTTACCACTTTATTATTCACTTAAGACAGCTGTGTTAAAAATGATATTTTAACAAAATTTAACATTCTGATAAATATATCATATCAATACATTTAATAGTAATAAATTCATTTGAACCAAATTATAAAAATCTTAAGAAATCTTTAATTATTTGTTTAGGTCAAGTATTTTAACAACTATTTACGTGACACTAAAAGGCCTCAGTTGCCAGAACACCCTGGAAATAAGCAACCTAAGAAAGACGTGAGTGATGCTCCACAGCAATACACTCCAGCCACCAATCCGTAAGAATAAACATATTGTTCTACTTGTCAAACTAAATTTTTAATAATTATTATATACATACTGTTTATATAATGTTATATAAATGTTGAAACATTTCAGATACCAATTACCTGGATATCCACCATATGGAGGTGCTGGATTCGGTCGAGGCATGTATGGTTATTCTAGACCTCCAGCACGAGGAGGTTTTAGAGGTGGCAGGTTAGTTGTTACTACTTAGTACTTAAAAAAAAATTTAAAAAATTACAGATTTTTTTTGTATTTATTAGGGCTAAACAATCAAGTCCCATAATTATTATAATGTTAAAAAAAAAATTTAATTAAACTTTTATGTTTTTTTTTTTACAGAGGAGGCTTTGATTATAGACCGATAATTCATTATCGTGATTTAGATGCACCTAAAGAACCAGAAGAGAACTTTATATAATTCATGTTTATCTTATTTCTATTGTTTTGACTAGCATAATTTTATGATATATATATATTTGTATTTTCTATGACATTTATTGATATTCCCATTTAATTTTAACATATTTGTAGTTTATCTACATAATTCAATTTTTTTTCTGACTATTAAACAACAATTTTTTTTACTGTAATAAATTTAAATATCGACATTTTAGCAATGGCTTAGTAATTTGGTATGGATAAAAAGTATTGAAAAAAATACACATATTTAAGTAATAATTATTGTAGCTCTTGACGTATTTCTTTTATTAAGTATAATTTACTACAGTTTTACTACATGTCTTGGCGACACGCGTGTTCATAGGTTTGATCAATTTACTTTTTGGTCATCTGACTGGGTACCATGAACTCCATACAAATAGAATACTTTCCCGTACATAGGACAACAACTTTTAAAATAGACCGTCAACATAGGCGCAAATACGGAGGGGCTAGGGTGGGCTTAGCCCCCCCCCCAAAAAAAAAATTAGGTTATGCATACAATTTTGAAATACAAAAATATATTTACTTATATATATATTTAAAAAAAATTTCCAGCCCCCCCCCCCCAAATTAAAAATTGAAATTGCGCCTATGACTGTCAAAGGGTTAAATTAGAACACATACATTAGACTACATATCATTGCTATTAAAAAAAAAATAGGTATATTTATATGTTTAAGCCGTAACGTAAAATAAATAAACTGGGTTCTATTCCGATTCACCTTAAACATATTTTTGTAACATTTAAGCTATGCCTAACACATACGCGGAACAACAAAACAAATACGAAGAGCGCCATAAGGCCATAAAAATAAGACTGGAACCAGCTTATACCATCTTGTACCAAGTACCATCTACGAGGGCAGTGTTCATACAACATGATTCTCAAGAGAGTAGTAAGAAAAATAATTTTTTAATTATCTAGTATAAATTTCATATTTTATACAATAAGTTCACTATATTTAATGAAGGTTCTATATTTACAAATGAGCATCAAAGCGTTTATTTGAAAGCGATTTTATTCAATTTTATCACTTTTATTTATAATAATTCTTGTAGACCTGTGACCTCTCCGTTTCCTCATTGCTTTGATTACATTATGCCTATACTCTACTGTACTAGTCCTCTAGGATAAAATCACTTTCAAATTAACGCTTTGATGCTCATTTGTAAATATAGAACCTTCATTTAAAACTTTTTAAGTTTGCTGGTTTATACTGTGCTTGGTTTGGACTGTACTGGCTTGAAAATACTAACTACCGATTTGCATCGAAGCGTTTTTTTGAAAGTGATTTTATCACTTTCAGATTTAAAAATTCCTGTAAACCTGTGACTTCCCCGTCACCACTATGCCCCAACCCAACTATGCTCCGTCCCCACTATGCCCCGACCCCACTGTACTGGTTTTTTTAAATTGAGAATAATGTACTACAAATTTAGGATAAGAGTTGATTAATCTTAAAAACTTAAGAACTTTAAAATGATTATTCAAAATTGATTATCGAACAATGTTTTTAGTAAATTATTCTTAATTTAAAATTTTAATTAAACACTTATATAGTTAACTAAATAAATATATAGTTTTAAAGGTCGATAAAGCTCCAGAAAATAGAAGATAAGTCTAACATCTCAAAAAAGAAAAGTAACACATATGTTATTTAAAAAACATATTATATACTTATTTATATGCTGGCAAATACTCTTTATGTAGGTACATATGTATTAAAAACGGCTTGTTTATATCGTAACTGTTACTATTGATGTTAATATTACATTTGTTTCACCGCACCATTTCAGTGTAAAACAACATATTTCTCCGAACCGTTTTTGCTAATTTTTCCTGTTTCAAAGGATTTCTTACAGCTAATACAATGTATAAACTATATTCTACGGTTTTTGTGTTGATGGTCGTTGTGTTGATTGGAACAACGCGCCAGTCAGCACTACATCAAGTCATTAGGAATTTGACGATGGACAGCCGCCATTTGCACTGCAGTGTAGATATGACTTCCTACCCGGGTTTTGGCATGGTGTTACCCGAAGTCAAAAGCCTCGACAGAACTTCTCTTATTGAATGCGGAAAACCGGATTCGTCGAACCTGCAGGTCGACACCCAAGTAATAAACTTCTCATAGAAATTTTAATATTTTGCGCTTAAAAGTTTCTCCGAAATCTATTCAAATATAAAATACCTCTCTAAAAAAGTTATATAAGGAAGAACAAGTCAGTTGGAATTTGACGATGGACAGCCGCCATTTGCACTGCAGTGTAGGTATGACTTCCTACCCGGGCTTTGGCATGGTGTTGCCCGAAGTCAAAAGCCTTGACAGAACTTCTCTTATTGAATGCGGAAAACCGGATTCGTCGAACCTGCAGGTCGACACCCAAGTAATAAACTTCTCATAGAAATTTACATATTATTTTGTTTTTAACAGTTATATACCTACCACACCAACCAGAACTTGTAAATTTAAAATTAATTTTTGAAATTTAACTCTATCGCTGTATTCTTCAAATGTATTTAACAGGTTGTTGGAACGACCTTTCTGACTGGCATCGGAGAAATAGGCAAAGGCCTATTCGCAAAGGTGCGTTACCCAGCTGTGGTCAGTGCGGTAGCTATTGTGCTACTTTTTGCTAGTATTGTCATACTGGTTCTCTTACTCACGGCTATTGCACCTTTGCTACTTATATTGACTTCTTATGCACTGTTGCTGAAACTTCTGACTATCATGGTATTTCTGCCGATGTTTCTAGTATGGATAATCGTCAGTGTCATTGTAATTTATATCGTTATTCATTTGAAACTTTCACATATCATATAATGTTATCATACATTAACAATTTTCGCATAACTTATATTATTATTGTATAAACTAATTGTATATACTCCAAGCAGCTGTACGCCACAGCCATGGTGCGTAACCCGTCTTATACCAACTTGGAACACAAACTACATAATATTGTAAAATAATATGATTTTGTATTTCACAAGTTTACTGGTTTGTTTTTTTATGCAAATATATTTTTTAGTAATATCGCATGTTATCGGATCGTTTTTAATAATACCGTTATACAACAGAACATATGTAGTGAGGCTATTTTAAGATACCGTCGACAATTACTTTTAACTTCAACTCAATACTTTTACTGACATTTGAAAAAAACGCTTTTACATCCGCCCCGCTTAACCCTACCTATACCACGTGGTAGCGGTTAGGTTAGTATTAAAACCGTACATTAAAAAATATCTTGTCCTGTTTAAATTAAAGATTTGAGTAGAAAACAACTCTAAGCAAACGAAACTCGATTTGTTACTACAACTTTTCAAATCGCTGTTTACCCAGAGTAATTGCTTTTGCAGTGTGTGTCACAATATTCTTTCAGCTGTGCGGTAGTACGCGACGGCCCATGATCTTAAGATTGTCTTAAGATAGATACGTCATAGTAATATTATTATAAGGGAATATTGTTTAGAGGATTTTACGCTATCATCGCCGACGTTGTTTTTTTTTATGTCCTGATCGATTTTTCAAAAACAAATCGTCGTATACGTTAACCCGTCACCGGTCTTGTGCAAGTACTTATATACTTGGAAATATATACACAGGTCTGTTATTTTCACCATAATAAGTTAGCTGTGCGCGTTTTACATGCGCCCATACACTGCCATATCTTTGCGACTAGGTCTTATGTTCTTACCGCATGTGTTGCGCTAAGTGTACCGCTCTGGTCGACTATATTCGCCTATAGGTGTTAAGAAAGAAAAACCCCAATAATTAGATTTTTAATAATTCACTCGGCATACACTTACCACCATAGCGCCGTTGCTAAAATATCTACTGAAATGTGTTAATTTTTATTAAATAAACGACTCGAGACAGCTGGCGAGAACCGACTTATATACATTCTCTCTTAAAATAGTTGCAATTCTGAAGTTTAGCTAACTGGTCAATAGTGAATTTTGAATAAATGGTTTTAATGTTATTCATGTTTAAAATTTAATACTGCAGGTGTAGTTGATGTAATGAGTTAAGTAATGTACACAGATAGAAATAACTCAACACTCCATCCTTTCTCCAGTCCTACATTTCAAAATTAAAAAGTAATTATCCAAAATTGTTATCGACCAGTCAACATTCTCAGAAAATTATTCTTAACTTATGAAGTTAGCTACACGCCGTTTAAGTTTCAAAAATGTATAGATAGCACTGGAAAATTCTAAAAAAGGTAAATGTTTAGTTATTTTATAATATATTGTAAAATAAAAAAAAACTTAAATGTTTCAAAAAGGAAAATTACAACATTTTAGTTAATATATTAAATGAAAATCAGTGTCTTTCAATTTCTCGATTTCACACAAAATATATCCAAGTTTATTTATTATTACTGGCAATTGTATAGCCCGTCCAGGCCTCGCCCTCGTGGAGTATTCAATATAATATGTAATAAGTATTAGCCTTGCACAAAGACCGACTTATACTACTTTAAAAGGTATCCAACGCGTTGACGACGATCGTCGAATTGGCCGGTAAAAAAAACATAATGACGACTCCAAGACAACACAAACATTGTGCGTTCAACGATTAGGTTTAAAGTCGCCCTATAGAATTAATTACCCGTGTACTAATACAATATATATATATAATAATATTATCTATTAAATCGTTAAGTAGGAAGTCGTTTCGTTCGACGTGTATATGTCAATTGGGAGGAGAAAACGAGACCGCTCACATGGTTAAAAAAAAAAAATGACCATAAAACCGTGAGCATTAATGAAAAGTTAAAGAAACTATATCTACACAAGTAACATTTATACTGGGTGATACTGTTGCGTGTCTGCCCATAAATGTGCATGGCTCTGTTACATTACACAAGTAAAAAATATAGTGGAGAATTCACCTCCGCGATTTGTCTATCTATAATAAATTAATGGAAATAAGTAAATGCAAATATTTAATCACAAAGTTGAATTTGTATAATAAAAAAAATTACTGACTTGTGATGACAAGCTGCTTCTTATATAACTGTAAAAAAGGGGATTTTAAAATTTGTTTTTTAGATTTTTAATCATCTTGAAGGGGTAAGTGTGAAAATACAATAAATAATAAATACCTAGTTTATCTTCTGCTAAAACAATTACAGCGACGAATAAAATCAAAACACGTTTCATTTTTATCTGCAAAAAACAATAAACATCAAAGCCTATTGTATTGAAGATTTTAGATTATTTCCTAAACATAAAAAGTTAAACTAAAAAAAATACACCTTATTTTTTAATATAATAATTCAATAATAATTGTAAAAAAATGTTCATAAATCTGTACAATTTTTTAGTGTTTTCTTAAATTTGAAGGAGAAGAGGGTAAGCTTTTAAAAATGTACGCCCAAATAAAATATCTTTCTAGTACAATTTCTGATCTATGTATAGAATTAGTAAGTAAACATCGTGGTTCTGGTTAAGAAAAAAACAATTAAAAAAAAAAAATACTTTTTCATCTCCGTATCAAAGTTAAAATCAAATGTTGCATGATATTATTCATTGATTTCAACATTTTTTTTTTTTTTTAATTGTTTTCAATTGATAATTAATTCAATTATAATTAATAACATAAATTCGACAGTAACGTGAATATTAGTAAAATCAACATAAAATGACAAAAATATTTTCCTAATTGTTAAATTTATTCAATATACCATTTCATTTAATACATTTATTTGAACTTAAAAAAAATAATTAGAGTAGTTAAAATTATACAGTACTCTAAGTTAAATAGGGATTCACATTACTCTAGTCCATGGATTTTATTTTAACATTCTAATCTGCAAGTATTAATGACTCAAAAAAAAAAAAATTATTAATGGTATTTAAATACTATTTATAATTAATTTCATTTTATTTATAATAAAGAAACGCACTACTTTTTTAACGATGAAGTTTATTAGTATGTTCATTTTTCTACATTACCACATTTTTGCTGCAACTCCATTTTTCATCAAAATAAATATTGACATTACATATTTCTACTGATTGTTTATGTAAAAACGTGTTTCCAGTAAATTCAGTTTTAAAATATAATTTAAAATAATAGAACATACGGTAAGTTAAGATTCTCAACAACCACATCATCATCTTATTTCGACTTATTTTACACCATAAACATTTATTTTTAAGGAGAATATATTGATGTATACTCATTTCTCGAGATAAACATTTAATGGGCAGTTAAAACTTTTGTTTTTTTAATTCCAAAACAATGCCTCAATATACCGTTTTTTCATGTTTAATATTCATACATTACACAATTAATACAATAGTTGAAAATAAAGGAAGAAGTACCAACGTTTTTAATCAAATCATTCCCACTAGAGTTACATCTTTATTACTAAGTGTAAAAGCAAATTCTTCACACTATGTGTATGTTAATGCTAATTACACATTATATTATTGTAATATAATAAAAATCATGATAACGAACTTACATAATAAATAACAAAACTAATCAACAAAATAAGTCAACCGAAAGATTGAATGTTTGCGTGTTAATGTTGTAGGCAAAGAATAACAAAGGTCAGATAATAATAAATTTGTTTTTTTTAAACTATGGTTTATTATTATTAAACATAATTAATAATACAATATTAACAATAAACCAGAATATGGACCTAAATAGTTAGTGTTAACATAAGTAGGTAGGTATCCTAAAAATTGGATCATCACTGATAAAAGTTCAAACAAATACGGGGTACAGAATAATACATGAATGTTGGAATGAGAAGCTGTTGGTATGAAAATAAATGTTGCACCTGACAGGAATGTTTATGCTACAACAGTGTCCATAAAAATTACATCTATACTGCACATAATTTCGTTGAAATTGAAATGTTTACATGAGACGTTTAAGTTCATCGTAGAACACCAACACTAAGGCTCCACCAGTACCTCGGAGAACATTGGAGAAAGCTCCCTTGAAGAAAGCAGAAGTACCCTCGTTCTTGTACAGTTTGGCCCAACAATCTACAGTGTTTTTGTACATTCTGTCTGCAGGAGCACGACCAGACTGCATCATCATACGACGTCTGACGGTATCAAATGGATAAGACATAATACCGGCGAAAGTGGTGACGAATTGGGCAATACCCCATGAAACTAAGAATGGAGTGTTCTTGGGATCTGGCAACATACCCTTGGCGGTGTCGAAGAATCCAAAGTATGCAGCACGGTAAATGATGATACCTTGGACGGAAACAAAGAATCCACGGTACAAACCAATAGGACCGTCAGATTTGACCGTCTTGACTAAACAATCTCCCAAACCTTTGAACTGCCTCTCAGCAGGGCCTTTACCGACATCAGCTCCTAACCTAGAAGGATTTAGTATCAAACATTAGCACAAGTATAAGATATATATTGAACAAAAACAAATTAAAGTTTTTTAACAAACCTAGTACGGGCATAATCCAGTGGGTACACAAAACACAAAGATGTGGCACCAGCAGCACCACCCGATGCCAGATTACCAGCGAAGTATCGCCAGAATTGAGTTTTCTTGTCGACACCTTCCATAAACAATTGCTTATAGACATCTTTGAAAGCAAAGTTCAACGCTTGGGTTGGGAAATACCTGATGACATTGGCGAAATTGCCTCTCCAGAAACTGGCGAAACCTTGTTCTTTTGGGATTCTGACCAGACAATCCATTATTCCTAAAAATAGTTTAAAAAGTAAATAATAAGTAAAATTAAACAATACAATTATTTTAAAACTAAATTAAGATAACTAATATTTCTTAATTATCCTAAACTAAAAGAATTTTAAATAAGTACAATTATTTATCATAATTTTTACACCTAATACCAGCTATGCTTTATAACTAAATAACAATACTGCATAAATCTATTTATCAAACTTATAAGTATACACAGAAAATCTAAAGAAGTATAAACTATGAACCCAAACATTAGTTATTCACAAAAAATTTATTTGGTCTGAACTATTGGTTTTATGGATGTTATTGAGAATTTTTATTGACACCCAGTTATACATTAACAATGTTTTGCAATTACCTAAACTCTTATTATAAATTAAAACTAAAATGTTTTATTGAAACAAGAGACAAATTTAAAACTAAAAAGTTGTAAAAAGAACTTATTATTGACACGTTAAAACTTTTTGCAATATAGTCAAATGAAAACTTATGAGAGTTATTTTTTTTAACTGATATACAGAGAAAAACCAAGAAAATATTATCAATCATTTCTTCCAGAAAAGAAGAGTTTTTCTTAAATTTGCTTTTATGGTAGTTTTCACTCAAGAGCGGAAAATTAGACTGTAGATAGATCTAGTAACAATATTATTTGTAAACAGAGTGCTGTTTATTTTCATATTATACATTTTCGTGAGGTAATTAACACAAATAAATATCATGTGTGCTTTTAGTCGACTTGATAAAATAATTATATTATACTGTATAACTTCAATAGAACAAAAAATTTAAAAAAAAAATCTTAAGACATTTGCAACAGTAATTAAAAAAATCTGTAAAGCAATATGTAATCGAATTATGTATGTTCATGATCAATTTAATGAATATGTTCCAATGCTTATTAATATATATATTATTTATAAATATATTTTACTCAAACTCGTTAGTCGTTAATCCACCGATAAAGAATTGGAGATAAAATTGTATTGTAAATATGAAGCTACTAGTTATATTCTCATTATGTGATACCCATAATATTCCATAAATTAAGTATAATACATCAATCAGTGAGTAGTGCAATGTACAAATTGGTATCTATAACCTAATTTCATTCAATCGTTATCTACAATCACGTGACACTTCTATTAGGTAACTTTAAATGAACATAATCGGGACTTAATAATTTTTAGATAAAAAGCATCCTGATAATAATAATGAGGTTTATAGTTATATCATCAGCAGAGCAAAATATGATATTTGCTAAATATTGATACAAAAAAATGATTATAAGAACAGCAGCTGCACTTGAAAGGTTTAAAAAAGGCGTTACCATTTACCGCGTTTCTAGTTGTTATTAATAGTTTTCACAGTAATCCAATATTGGCCGAAGAACAGACTAAATTGGACTATTAATAGACTCGTTGAAAACGAGTTTTAAATCTTTTTGACTTAGAAACACACATTCCGAAATTTCTAGTTAATTGTTGCCAGTCTAAAAATAGTTGCGGAAAATGTGTTATTTTATAACGAAAGTAGTGGTAAAGGTTAAATTACTGCCCTTCAGTTACATACCTCGTTATAAAATGCAATCAAAAAATAAAAGATAATAGTAAAAATAATATAAATATTAATTTTGTTATACACATAGTTCTAAATTATAATTAAAACAATATTAGTGATACCGGCAATCAAATTTTAAGCCATAACCGCATGGTTTTTGTTTAATAGAAAAGAAAAAAAGACGAAATGTCTTATCAATTATCATACTGTTAGTGTAATTTGCATATTTAGCATAAATCGAATAAATAAATTCCAAATAAACGCTTAGAAAAACGAATTTGAAAAAAACTATTGATTTTTATTAATTATATACAATTATTGCACATACTACGGTCGATAATTTTTTACTAACTGTATAGTTTTTGATAACTGATTATTTTATTGGTTAAAAAAAAAGACATTGCCCATTCTCTATACTGTTTTGTATGCTTTTTCGCTTAGTTAACATTACTATTTAAACTTTACAACGAAAATTAAACGCAACAAATTATGTTGACCCTGAAACACTTGAAGGAAAAACATTACGTAGAGCACGACCTAGTATGTATGTTTCACGTGTGCAGTGTATGACGTCGTAGCACTCGTTTTTTACAACCCAAGTAACGTTTTAATGATAAAGTTGTTCAAACACAGTCGTTGGAAAAATCAGACGAATCTTTCTGAACGGCAAGTGATAAATACATTTTCTAACCCAACTTTTTTGGTTTGGAAGTAGATATCGGTCATGAGAAATAAATCGTAGAGAACCAGTAAAAAAAACTCGGAAAAGCCGACCGGGGTGGCCGGCAGGTCTCGTGATAGCAGTCATGTAAGATTTTAATCGAATTATAAAAAAAAAAAACCGTGCAAAATGGCGTACTAATAAGAAAATGAAATCATCGTTCGCCGGTATCCCCACCAGACCCCGGACAACGGCACGTCGATTAGGTTAGGTTTGTGGCTGATATCCAAAGCCGACACGGCCTCAACCCTTTTGTGGGGAAAATTCAGGTATATGCATGTTATAGCCGTATAGCAATTCTATAGTAGGTCATCAAAAGGCGAGCTCGGCGATTGAGATTTGAGGTCATCGCGACTAAATTATAGGTCGTGCCTGGGAATTTTGCAAATCGCAGGCTACACAGCAATGGCCCCGCCTACACTTGGTAACCCAATTTGCCGGACCGATCGATGCCGGCCGCCGCTGCCGTCAATCGGGGGGTCAACATACAAAAAAAAACATATACATGCAAAATAACTGTCAAAATAAAATGTTTTGCCGTACCTTTGTATTGTTTGTCGGCGGCGATTTGCGTAGAAGCGCCCTGCACTTGAAGGATGAGCTTGACACGTTCTATCGGTGCGACGGCAGTTTTTGATACGGCGGCGGAAATACCGCCGGCCAAGAAGTCCTTGGCGAAACCGTAAGGGTCCTTTGGTGCTTTAGCTTCGGCCATTTTTGTAAAGATCGTAAAATTGTACTTGGGAAAAGAAATGAAGTATTTGTCTGATCAAAGTCGCAGCACACGTAGGAGTGTCACGAGCGGTGCGGAGCGAAAGAAAGAGCTTGACGGTCGTGTACACGAAATGGCCGTCCGAACGCATTGGTGTCATGACGTCACCGATAGAAAACAGCTGTTTACCATGTTGGCATTATTTCGTTGTTAATTTTTCACACTTACCGTCAAAAATAGCCCATTAAAAATTACACCCTCTACTTTTACATCAGTTTATCATAATTATATAAATACTAAACAAATAACAATCGTGTATAAAGTCAAAAAAGCAATTTTGTAATCATTATTTGTTTTTTAGGTTAGGGCGAAACACTTCATTTTTGCCGGGCACTTTTAAATATTAAAAGGCAGAAATTACTCAGTACTCGACTCGATTCTAATATTACCTACATTTTTATAATTAACCGAGTTCCTCTTTTATTCTATCAAGTAAATGTTTTAACGAAATGCTTTTTTTAAATTATAGTTAATAAATATTAATGTTCGCGCACCGCGAACCTTATAATACCTTTGATACATTAAGTAAACTTTAAAAGTAGATTATATAATTTTACGTAATAACAGTAAACTCAACAAAACTTGAGTTACAGATATTACTCATGTTGGTACAAAACAAACTGCAGTTAACAGGTTTACGGCAGAGGCTATAATATAAACAATAATATTTATTTATGGTTGATAACATTCTGATTATCGCTTGTCCAGTTAAATTTTCATATTGGAAAAGATAAGGCTGGAACTTTATCCATTAATCCATGTATTCCAACAGCTACTAATGTTTTATTATTTGAATGTTTGCATACGCGTACGTAATTGTAGAATCAAATTAGTATGAAAATGAAATTGACTTAACTTTCATAATTATATTTTCAACTTATTCAAGTACTATTGTTATTTTATAAATTTCAAATCATGAATTATTTAAACGATTTAATACCCACCTAATTTTCAACGTAGGGTATAATAGGTATATTATAATTCAATACGTTGGGTAACGGTTATGCAAAAATCAGTTCCTTCGCTCATTAGTGAGCTTCAAATGTTAACAAAAAAAAAAAATTAGTTACTTTATTCTACCATTGTTAACCCAATGGCTAAGGTTATTAATGAATAAAGAACTAAAATAAATATGTTACTTTAATTATTAATAATGATGAAACACAAAGAAAAAATTTAATTTGCCGTTTTTACCATTCAGTATCAAATTTTATACTTAAATTCTCAATCAAGTAAGGATATTTAATATTTAAAAGTTGTAGGAACAAAAACAATTGGAAATAGGAAAAACAAATTATAATATGATTACTACTTGTGTACTCAAAAAAATATTAACACACAAATTATTAATGTAAATCGATAATATAATCCATCTGAACAGTCTTCACACTACACATCAGACATAATATAGTGTTTTACAAAATATTTAAGTGTTTAAATTAAGTATCAGCAAAGCTTGTAAGTAATAATAAACATTTACAATTTTTTTTAAATACAAAGAAGCTCCACACACAAGAGAGCGCATAGACCAGTTGAAATTGTGATATTTCGTTTCAATATACAGAGTATGCGGTTTGAATACTTCCAAAAAGTTATATAAATAAAATAAAACATTTTCAAATGTTATAAGTTGAAAAAAAAGTTAACATCTGTTTTTATAACAACATTTATCATATTAAATTAATTTAATTATATACCCCAAAATATAAGTCATAAAAACAGATCATAAAATATTTAGCTATTAGTTACAAATATTTATTTTATAGAACTAAAATCTATATAATAGACTGTTTCTACAAAACTGTAGATTAGGAGAAACCATTGGATATTTTTTAAAAAAATTTTTATAATTTTTTTTTTTTTTTGTAACAATCAAAACGAAATTATAAAACTATTATTCAATATAAAATATAGTCATATTATATATTATCCATCAAAGAGTTGGATGTCTGTATGTAAAATTATTAATAAGATAATAATATATGGCTAATAAAGTTTGTAAAACACATTTTTGTACAGTTGTAAAAGGCCTGACAGTGGATGATTAGTCTTGTTGCAGGTAAAGAAAGACCATTATTTAGCATAACCGAATTCTTTAGCATCATCCTCTGTGATGTCACCATACTCCCACATATGTAACCGGTCTTTCTTAGCCTTGTCTTGAGCCTCGATGTACTCAGTCAACTGAAAATTAATAAATATTCAAAATTCTAAATAATAAATTTAATTATTTTTTTATTCCTTACCAATTTCTGCAAATATCTTTCACGACGCCTATCAACCAACAAAAACCCTTCTTCGACCAACTTCTTAACAAGATCCTCTTTTTTGTCAGCATCTTTAACAGTAACATGAGTTAAGTTGTCGTAAGTGTATTCTTCGTTGATATTGATTGTTTTGTTGATGAACTCCTCTCGTACTACCAATATGGAATCTTCTTGATATTCCGGTAATTTCGGCAGTTTAGCAAGTGCGAATCCATATTCTCTGGCGTAAGGCCGGTCGTTCTTGAACGACTGAGGCAATAGAGCACATTCGTTTGCAGTAACCACATCTCTATTTCCGTAATCAATATACAAAATGTGTATATTTGGTCCAGCTACTTTTTCCACTTTAGCACGATACCACTGTTGGTCTTCTTTGAACTGGGCAGCAATTATATCTCCTATTAATTATACAAACTGTTAATGTCTTACAAATAATACAAATTGAGTGCAAGTAAAATATATTACCTCTTTTTGGCGAGTAACCAGCAGCTGGAGGGGTCGAATCAAATTGTTTTCGCAAGTTGTCCATAAGACTTTCCAATTTAGGGCCTTCCGAGACAGGTTGCACGTAGACATGCAACTCGGGACTGATTTCCGATACAAGAACTTCGACGTAATTGGTTTTGCGCTCTTTGACGACATCCTCAGTCACTGGCTTGCTGTTGTTGTTATTTGCTTCTTCTGGTACTTCCACGTAGTTCTTCCACAACTAATAAAAATATTAAATACCATAGATTTAAAATATAAATATAAATGTGTTAGCAAGAAAAATTAATAAGAAGCTATTTAAAAATAATTCTTTGAAGTAAAGTAATAGAATACAGATTAATCCTATTTTAATGAAACATAGCAAACTATAAACAAATAATTACATTGAGCTTCTTGTCTTTAGCTTCTTTCTCGGCCTGTTGCAGCTGTTTGAAGTATTCGGAACGTTCAGCCGATCTGTGTACTTTTGCAAGTCCTTCTTTGACAAGTGCTAAAGACAGATTGGTGTTGCCAACAAATAACCAACCAATCATGCTACCACCTTTGTTGCAAGATTCCACAGTGATTTCTACTTCACGATGCATAATTCTTTCTTTTGTGAAAGCCAATGCTTCTTGATGGTATTCTTCAGCTGCAGACGGTTGTTCACCTTGATTTGGGCGTTCACCACTTGGACATGTAATACCTAATTTGAAAATATAGTGAAATGTATGAATATATATATGTGAAATGGTGATTAAAATAGGTGCTAAAATGTGCTTTAAACAATAATGATTTTTAATACTAACCCGCCAACAGGAAAGTAATAAGCGAGTATTCTCTTCGGACATAAAGTCGCATTCTTGAGCCACTGGCAACATATTCAACTAGAGCTTCAAACCTCGGGAAACGTTGCAAGCTAGGCAACAATGCTTTAGCACGGGCAGAATCCTAGACATAGTTAAGTATTTTAATTTATAAGCTAATATATTTTTAAGAAAAATATAAGTTTTACTTACCCCTGCACTAGAACAATCAGTAATCCGTTGCTTGGGCGGAGGAGATTTTGAATGCAAGCCTTTATGCGATTGTTTGGCGTTTTCTTCTGCTTTCTTTAAATCATCAAAACATTGAGACATCTGGTCATCTCGAGGGTTGTTCATTACAGTCGCCAGACCTTCTTTTACTAATTCCTCGGCAAGATTTCTGTTTGCATACAATTATATTTTATCAACATTTTAATAATATTATTCATTTTAACTTACAGTTTTAAACTTATAAATAATATGATACAATGAAAATTGGGTGCACGAGAAATTTTTATTTCTCTTACAACAACATAGATGTATTAAGCTCAACTGGTTAATTCTATTTTAAAGGGAAGAAAATCAATACAATCCATGTTTTGACAACACATAAGGCAATGTTGTATTGATACCCCCTACAAAAAGATGATTATATTTCCTTACAAAGCCCGCCAAAACAAGTTTGGTTTTTTTGTAAAAAAAAAAGCAAACATGTTAGTCTTTATTGGTAAAAATAAGTGATAGTTTTTAAGTGAAGTATCAGTATGGTAGTTGCAAAATTGTAATATTTTAAACTTTATTTTGAAAGTATTTTTAAATATATTAGTTTTGACAACACAAGGGTATTTTAATTTAGTAATTTAAAAATATCTTACATTCCATTTACGGTCACAGTAGCACATATTTTCTCTTCAAATTTGTCAGACTTAGGCTGTATGTAATCAACAGACACATTTACTTTCTTTCCAATACAACGTGTTCGTAAGAACTCACGTGCTTCGTATGCCCATGGGATTTCATAGAAATGTTTAGCCAGTGTTCGTGGAGCACGAGGAGGAGCTTCTTCACCATACTGTAGTTCACTAAAAAAATAATTATGAAATCAATATTTTACCCATTTATTTTCAAAACTTATTAGTGGTTTTAATTTTCAACACTAAATAAAAGTATTTTACCCTCTGGGTGCTTCAACTCCAAGTCTTGCTGGTTTAATATTTGATAAGAAAATCTTTTTTGGTTTATCGTGGTTTGATGTTTTCACTAATAAGGCTTCTTCCCGGATAATTTCAATTACAGTTCCAACTATTTCTTTTTCGGGAATCTAACGACATTTTTGTAATTTAACATCTACCATTACATCGAGAAGGAAAATAATAATTTCTTACCTCTGGTCCAGTATGTTGGTATGACTGCCATTTCCTCAGTTTTTTTTCTTTTGCTTGCCTCTCAGCTGCTCTCAATTTGTCAGCACTACCTTCCAAATACTTCATACTTCTATTTTGACAGGTAGCAAATCCTTGCTTCACTAACTCTACAGCGATTTCTCCAGCCTTTCAAGGAGTAATCATAGCATAAATACAATTATTACACAAATATATATCATGAGGTTTTTCTTACCGGATGGTATATAGTACCGAAAAATGATGGAGTCTTATTATTGGATAAAACACTCTCCAAGGTAACTTCAATATCTTTTTGTAGCAAACGAACCTCAACGAAAAACTTCGCCTCATTTCCAAATTCATCATTTTCAGGAGGGCACTAAATATTATAAATAGAATTTAAATAAATGTTAATCATTTTAATTAGAATGAAATTCTACCATTCAAATGAAATTAATACTAAATATTCCTAAAGTATTGAATATTTCAATAGGCAACAATAATTTAAACTTCAGTTGAAAAAAAACAGATGTTACATATACCTTGATTCCAGAGAGATACAAGGTTATCATATATCCTTCGGGTAAAAGCATCAATTTAATGGTTGATCCATCAATAACAGACTCAACTATGGCCTTAATGCGCTTCTTTTGATTCTTTTTCAAAAAAGCTTCCACATCATCGATAGTGTTGTTTTTCTTCGATACACTCTAAAAAATAAAATTACAACTATATTATATAACATTTCATACATAAAAAACCTTTCAATCATAATTTAAACACATGGTTTTGTAAAAGAAAATGTCAATACCTTTACGCTTGTATCCCATTTGCCAGCTTTAGCAGCCTTTGCTTTGTTTTGAAGATCAACCAATGTCTGGATATCAGGTGTTGGGTTGTTAGATTTTACATTCTTAAGAGTGACCAAACCATTTTCAACAAGCTCACTAACAATGTTATTTTCTAGAATAAAATTATAATTTTACATGTTGTCTTAGAACATAATTATGATATTGCACAACAATTTTCTTACCCAAAGTTGGATAGTAAATATCGCCATAGTATCGGGGTTTTCCGCTTCCAGGTACTTGACCAGCCATCTTAAAGAACACTTTTTTACCAACAAGCTTCTTCCTGAGAAACTCACGAGCTTCCCAAGCAAAAGGCTCATCATCGGTGCCCTTGGATGTAGGATCATTATTCGCTCTAAAATATATTGTGTTATAGATTTCTCATTCATTTACAAAATAAATATATAACAAAATATCTAAAATCATAACAATACTTACGGCCGACGACCCAATTTTGGAGCAATAATATTATTTAATGTTATTTGCTTTTCTCTTGGATATCCGGAGTATACTTCCTCGCGAATAGTGATAGAATCACCAGAGTTCACCTTACATACAAAATTCATATAATAATTAGATAAATATTAACAGAAATTCTTATAATAATCATGTCAACAGGGTTGTAATTCAGAAATCATTCTTTTAAAAAAGTATTATATATGATATGCCTACAAACATTAATTACAACTAGTCTTCATTAAACATATTGTTTGTGTTTCAATTTTAACATACAAACAATACTGAACAAAATAATCAACATAGTAACTATACCGAACAATTTAAAACTTAAATATTTTATAAACCTAGGAGTAAAAACAAAAATATACTAAATCGGTATTTGTACCCAGAAAGTATTGTTTTTAAATTTTGATTAAACAAACAATAATAAGACAAATAGTAAGTAGGTTATGTTTTTTGTCTACAGTTAAAATATCCTCAACAACACCACAGAGAAAATCCTAACAGCTAATGCAATTACTAATACCGCAAATAAATGTATAGATGCATCTGAAAGTTAAAATATATATGGTGAGATACATTCCAATTTTTATGTAATTTAAGTAAACATAGATAATTTCTCTACTACTCATCACAATATAAATGGTATAGAAATAAAAGAAAATGTATATGAAATAAAAGAAAGCAATTTATTTTAAAACTGGTTTTAACATTGTGTTGTTTACCGAAGGTATATACCTAAATAGGGAATGTACTAATTAGTAACCCTTTGAACGCAAGATTTGATGTGATTACACTAGAACGTAAAAAAAATACATAACGCTATGCATATTATAGGTATATTAAGCAAATTGAAAAACTATAAAATAAGTTCCTTTTCTAATACTGTGGTACTGGTAGTATATAAAATACACTAGGTATTTAATGTAATATTTCATCAATCATAATGCATCAAGTTTATTTTAAAAAAAAACATATGCCGGAGTGTTGCCTTATACCTTTACACTTTAGGCAGACATAACTGTAGGCTCACCGTCCTACATTGCAACAAGTAGTTTGACAAGAGCTAACCGAACCGTCATAAGGAATCTATCCCTATCGAAGAACGATGAACCCACCAAGGTCCGAACCCGATGTGTCTCAAGTGTGTGTACATAATGTTTTGTACCTGTTTGACGACTCCTTCGAAAACCTTGACGGGCTCCTTTGCAGGGGACACGGCTCCTGGCGGTTGGTTTGTCATCGTAATTTGTGTCTGTACGACTCGCGCGTATTTTGGGTACGGGGTTCAAAAAACAGCGGCCAGGATTACGATAAGGTTTTGAAACGGGTTGTCACGTGATTTTGCTAGGCTATGCGTGCGGTGTATTAGCAGCGCCGACAACAGTGCACGTTAACGGTGTTCATGATGCGTCGGGTTGAGGTTAAAATTTTCAACGAAAAAAAAAAAATAAAGAACAAAATAAAACTGCGGTCCACACGTTTTTCCAACAAGAGAAAAAACGCGAAAATCGGCGAGTAAACTGTATCGTACACGATGTGTCCAAACGGCACGGTTATGGGGAAAAGGGCCAGATCAGCAGATTCGGCGGCGCACTCCTCACACGCTTCACGAGTTCGCGCAGAAAGAGAATGAGCGAGCGAGCGCGGTATGGCCCGGCGGGGCGGAGGGCGGGACAGCTGTCGGCCGCGGAGGGCGGGGGAAAGGTAAAAAGACAGAGACGGAAGGTGGCCCGTCTCATTAATGAACTTTCACAACGGGGGGAAAAAAAAGTTGGTTTACCGCGGTGGAACACGCAAGGTGACCGCGGATACCAGACATCGTTGCGTGATACGTCAATGCCATGGAATAAACGGCGGTCAACGCGTCACACCGTACCGCGTGTCTACGGCGTACGTCGGCCAACGTAGAACGGCACGTCGACGCCGCGTCGGTGCGCCGAGCAAACGTCGGCACTCGGCTGACGCCTGACCACGCTGTTTTTTGAACAACAATTATTTCTACCAGGTACTATCCGTTGGTTTTAACGAAATCGTTTTACACCTACTCTGCGCTCACCGACAACACCGAACGTTTGCCCAAAAAGTATTTTAGGTTATTTCATGGACAAACCGGCGAAACCGCCAACGTCCCGTACACGAGGCCGGCAACAGTGTCGGTAACGTTTCATCGGATGCCGCCTGCCGGTGTTTTCAAACGCGAGCGCGCGTTTTAATTAAATTATTTTTGTTTTCACATAAAACAAAACGCCTACGGGCTTACTACGATTCGGGGCGATTGTTGTGCTTACATATTGTGTATTGTAGGTTAATCAGAAAAAAGTACTAATAATGTAATATATAACTATATCTTGATTAGTATTGTATTTTATGTCCAACAGGCAACAATGGATAAAAGTATAAAACCAATTAGTCTTTTAAATAGTTTTGTTCTTGCAACGATCCGATGCGAATCTGAAAATATATTGATTCTAAAATAACGTGTTTTTTCAACTAATTGTACGTATAATTATTTAGACCATTCGATTTCTATTTCCTGTTGTTATAACTTGTACACTATTTTTTTAGCTTCGATGGGATGATGGGGCAAGCTGAGATGATATTGTTTTAAAAATTATGTGTTTTATTTTAAATTCGTGCCTATGAATAAAACATTATTGCATTATTATTTAAATTCTAATTGAACTCGATGTCTGTAAAGCAATTCTGTAGAAATGCATTTTAGTTTAAATGTTTTTTCGTAACTGTATTTATACGGATTTGTATTATATTAAATATTATTTTAAAGAACTACACGATATTGATTTAACAGTAGTAGTATTAGTTTATGGTGTACTCTGTTGTAGCCCAGGATTTTGCTTTTAATGTAGCACTTACACGCACAATTATATATTTATTAGGTATTAGCATTAAAACATTGTAAAGTAAATTAAAAGTGAGTCTGAATTTTGACCACCGCAGAATGCAGTTCAGGAAATTGATAGGTATAAAATGCATATAGTCGATTCAATGTGTTTACGCCAGAGCTGTCATTAATAACAGCATGCACATCCACGACCATATCCACGGTCATATTGTGATTCACATTGGCATCCATACCCTCCGCGTTGTTGATAATATGGACTCTGAATAAAATATGGAGTTATTGGTGCTTGCGTTAGATGGTTACATCCATAATAAATGTCGCCACCTCCGTTACTTTTAAGAGTGTAACATCCACATCCGCAACAGCCACATTTAATCTTACACGGAGCAGTCTAAAAAAGTTAATACGATCACAGAAAAAAAACATCAACTAAAATATGTTACAAAGAAATAAAAATTAAATGTATTTTCACAGACTATATCTGTGGTATTTTAGTGGAGTTGTAAAATTCTGCCCACTATAAATTTATTTGCCATAGGTTCTCCAAAAAGTCGGCTGAATTTTGTCCAAAAGATGAATCCGATTGATTTTTCCACGAAGAATCCATATTATCTACCTTCCAAATATCTTAGCACGTTGTATTTGAAGAAAACAAAATTTAATGTAAGGAAAACCCAAAAAACTAATGCAATTTTGAAGTCAGATTTGGGTCTTGTTGGAAACATCTAACGGATAGTATCGGATTCATCTTTCGGACAAAACTCATCCGAAATGTTGTATATAGAACCGTGTTTTTATAGGTATATTACCTAATACATACTTTAAGAAAAATTTCTGTTTTTTTCCTCGGGTACTTACCGAAGCGTAGACAATTATATTAAAAACAACGCAACACGTCAAAATGGTCTGAAGACAAGACATAATTAAATATTTTATAACAAATACAATTTACAAATGTTATAAAATTATATTGATGTGGTTTAAGACTAATGCAGAATTAATTTCTTAAGATTTAAATCGACACAAACGGAGGCCGTATGGACGGACGACGAGAATGAAAGTCTTTCATTTGTGCATTTATTTTATAGTTAGTTTCAAGTAGAAATAATAAAAATATATCATACATAGCACACGTATAAACGCGGGAAAATTATTATAACAATATATCAATACTATAATAATAATCCTTGATCGGTATTCTATATAGACCTGGTACAAATATTTATGTTTTTCCCACGCAAATATCAATGGTCTAATGCAGAATATTATACAAAAAACAAAAAATGATGTTTTCCTTTTTATGTTACGAGAAAATAAAACAATGTTGACCACGTTAGACGAGAAATATAGTCAGGCATTTGTTTTAAAAAAACAACACTATAGGACTTGGCCGATTTAAGTTATACATTTCGACAAACGCGTACTAGAAATGGATGGAATTTGTAAAATAAAATTAAGAAGGCCGAAGAGTTTTGAATTTCAGATAGGTACTGTCCTTAGTTGAAACTTAATACTATTCTTGATATAGAAATTTGTCATGGTACATTTTAGTCACTTTAGTATGAGTCATTTTTTATATGCTTTTCTTTAGCTCGCTAACACGGTTTTTTTCAAATCTTCTAAAACTAATTTAACCCACTTCCCGATATCGTATAGGGCTGAAACTTGACTCATCTAAGATGACAATACAATATCCTGTAATCATATTGGGACTAGGACATCCAGGTCACCCTACACTGGGTCAAATGTGGGGGTCATTTCACTAAAATTTCATTTTTTTCCAAATCTTCCAAAATCAATTTAGTAATCTATTCAGCAGTTATTAAATACCTTTAATAGGACTAAAAAGTAAAAAAATAAATTAAAAAAAACTTTTTTAAAAACATGCTTTTCTAAAAAAAAAAAAAAAATAGTAAAAAGTGAACTAAAAAGTAAAAAATAATTTTATTACAAGAACAATTTACCAATCAATTGTAGCATATCTTATTTAAAATGTCAATTACTTTGAAAACAACGGAAAATTAACTAAAATTTTAAATGATGTTAAACATCTTTAATTTTTGACTAATAAGAAAAGCGTGGGCCCTATTCAACAAAGTCCCTAATAAATTTATCAGATAATGTTTTATATTGTAAGTTCTTTTGTAATTTAAATTTAGTTTAATATTTATGTGTGACACATTCATTTCATAGCACTTAACTCAATGAATTTGGACTTTGTTGAATAGGGCCCACGCTTTTCTTTTTAGTCAAAAATTAAAGATGTTTAACATTATTTAAAATTGTAGTTAATTTTCGGTTATTATCAAAGTAATTGACATTTTAAATAAGATATGCTACAGTTGATTGGTAAATTGTTCTTGTAATAAAATTATTTTTTACTTTTTCAATTTAATTTGAATAGTTTAAAGTTTAAATAAATAATGTATTATTAATTAATATACCGCGAGATGTGTCTTTAATAAGTTCATGTGTTTAAGTCTATTAAACGAGATTGTAAAATAGTTGTACTGCAGCTCAGACTTCGGAGGTACCTTTATTTTTATAATTCAAACAATTTTATTTAAAATAACATTTTTTTTTCAATTTCGTTTTCATAGAAATCAATTTTCTTAAAATTATTACCTAGAACTAAGTACAGGGTCCGGCAGTAAAACAGGATGATTTCAATACTTAATTACTATTTAATGAATGAATAAATTTTAATTTTAATAAATATAAATATAAAGTATAAGAGTTACAACGTAGACCGTGGTGATAACGATGATTGACATACGACGTACCGCCCCACCTCAAATCATCCGGTTTCACTGCCGGACCCTGTATAATAATTAAATAAATTAAAAAAAAACAGAAAGTTAATTTGTAAGTAATATGTAGCCATCATTGGAGTACAGAGGTCAAAACATTAATATTTTGCTATTCCTGACAAGAATAAATACTACATTGTTTGTTGAAAATGCTATTCAAATTAAAAATAAGTGTGAGTGTTTTTGTTTTTCATTCTTAATACAACTTGAATTGTATAGATATTGCATTTGGAGAATACTTAAAATAATAAACAAATGTATGTTTCAAACTACAAAATCAGCTAATTATGAACAAATATTGTCAAAATAGGCAGATCAGATTTCATTCCATAATTCTTAGTTTGTAATTGAAATTAAAAAAAAAATACAAAAATTAGTAATTCACAGTGCATACATAATGTAATAACTGTATTTTAGTGTAAATTGTTGTCTTTATTAATAAATAATAAACTAATAAATATAACTATTAATAATATAATTAACTTTTCCAGGCCATTTACCCAAGATCTCTTCAAGGTCAATTAAAAATAACGTACTTACTCTTTTCTAGACAGGAAATACTATAATATTTACTTTTGTAAAATTTATATTGTACTGCATCTTTACCAAAGCTAAAAATAAGGCATATTTTTTAAGTAAAATAAATATTTATTTCAGTCAGTAACAACTTTATAAAAAAAAAATAAGGCCAATGAAAAACAATTAAAAACTATTTTATCATACAGAGGAAGACCTAAGATCACCGAGGGACTAGAGTTTGTACTTAGCAATATTTAGTTTAGATACAAATTAGTGTTTTAAGTATGTTTCATAACAATACTGTAACTATAACAGCATAGAGGATATTAGACAATATAAATTTAGGAAAAAATACTTATAAACTCGATAAACGTAGAACAAAATAGGAAACACAATTATTTTTAGGGTGGATTTTTAGTTGTGTCGCAGCAGTGGTTCAGATACCATTTTGTCTCTGGTGGCCAAATATGACTCGCGTTCCTTATCTGGATACTTGGTTGGTAAATTTGGACTGTTTATATTCACTTTTGCCGGATATCTTATACCGGCAATTTCTACTTCATAGTCACCTGCCATTACATACTCATTAGTGATTGGTTGTGCCTGGCCTTGATCGTCCAAATTTTGAACAAATCCTAAACAAACCTAAACACGTAAACATTTTATAAAATTTCACAAGCTTTTTTTTTTATAAATTGTTAAGTTATTACTTGTTTCTTGAATGTAAAACCATAACTAGTCGTAGTAGTAGCACCAACATATTTCTTGTTTCTGTATATCGGTTCACCACCCCAAGACCATTGATCGATGTCCGGATCGTGTTCGTTCAATAACAACTGAACATAAATTCGTTTTATACCTTCTTCTTGTTGACGGAGCAACGCATCACGCCCTATAAAATTGATTCCTTTCTGCAAAAGTGGAAAAATTATTTAGGTACAACTTTAATGGAATATAAATAGTTGTAGCTTATTGTTAACGACATACATCAAACTTTACTCTCCAAGAACGACCACATTCCAACGGAGTGGTAGAGGTATCTAAATCTTGACCCCAAAACGCATAGAACTTTTCCACTCTCAACGCTTTCATCGCATAACAGCCGGCGTGCCTTAAATTGTACTTTTTTCCAGCTTGTATTAACGAATTGTAGACATGCAATGCAAACTATAACAACACAACAATGATTTAGTAGCTCAAGTAGTTATCAGAGACTAAACTCTAATAAAAATATTACAATATTTAATAGACAAATTATTGTTTGATTAATTAATTTTATTGTATTTAGCCAATTTGTTCACCTCATTTGGTATGTAAAGTACATAACCAAGTTCTCCCGTATGGGTGATGTTCAATGCTCTAATTCCGTTTGCTAGGCCAACGTCAAGTTCTTTGTATGTGAAGAACGGAAATGATTTTGGACTCAAGTCAGTCTCGGTTAGTTCAGATAATAAGTGACGTGTAAACGGCCCCATTATACATATTGCAGTGAACATAGAAGTGACGTCTGTTAAAACGACAGAATTATCTGTCGGTAAATGACGCTGAATCCAGATTTTGCAACGAGTCTGTTGTATAGTCGGAGCAATCATCATATAACTAAAAACGTATGGTTAAAAAGTATGTTGATTCCATTTTAACAAAACAGATTTACATAATTTTTGTTTTCACAGTAAAAAAAAATATGATTTTTAAATTAAATGGTACTTACTGATTATCTGATAATCTTATAAGACTGCAATCGTTTTCATATCCACCCCGGACATTCTGCATTCCTGTGTGAATAATACTTCCAATAGGAACATCAACATCGTTTGAGCAAAGATACTGTAAGGCTTGTACAACTTCCTGGTCTTTTGACTGAAACAATTTGACAGTTGTGTATAGTTATATACTAAAATATAATATCAAAGTAATTATTTCCATATTTATAAGTAACTGAATAATAATCGTTTGTTTAACTTATTACAACTTAATATATAACAGTTTAAATACATCATAGAAATAATATACTTTTATTTTTAATGGGAATTTGGAAGATCAAAATTATTATTTCTAAATACAATTAAATTAAAGGTAATAAAAAATAAGGTAACACAAATAAATAGTTTTCAAGTATAAAGCAATATATTAATTTGCATGCTTTAAAATATTAGGTATACCTTTTAGACATTTTTTTTAAATAATATAGATTTATAATATACAAATAAAAAAATGTTAATTATTTAATTAAAAAATATGTTAGTTAATAGTGATTATTATGCAACAAACCTGGGCATTATTTAAATTCAAATAATTACTAAAAATAATAACGTACCTTAATAAAAATTAATTAAACATATTCAGTTTCAACTCCAAATAAGTTTTTATTTAAATAATAATGGCAAAAATAATTAAAATAAATTTGTGTTTAACAAACCATTTAAACTAATAGGTTATTTTAAACAGTCACATAAAAATGTATGTTAAAGTAAAAGACTATTTGAAATTATAAATATTTTATAACTTGAAACAGTAATTATAAATATATTTCAAATATTTATTTGTTATATAAAAATGCCCAGGTCTTGTGTGTAATAATATTTTTAATTCTTTTTAATTATTAAATTAATTAATAATTTTTTTTAGCTTTATCAAAATAATGGCTTATCACATGATTCTTATCTCTTATCAGAGACCATTCACCAGAGTTACATCTTTTACGTTTTTCAAAAAGATTTAAAAAGAATTTGGTTTAACTAGTCATTATACCTAATCCTATTTTACCAATAAGTATCTTATTACTTATTTATAAAGAATAATTATCAACAATCAAACTATATATCTATCATAATAGTTATAATTTATAAACTTAGTAGCGTCAAAATTTTATTTCACCTCAAACATGACCAAGCGTCTTCTAAGTGTTGATTTTGAAGTTTTTGGAACCGTACAAAGAGTTTTTTTCCGTAAATGCACTCAAGAACAAGGAATATCATTGGGATTACGCGGGTGGTGTAAAAACACACCTGAAGGTACTGTCGTTGGCACCATTGAAGGTCCGCCAGAAAAAGTCAATGAAATGAAAAAATGGCTACAAACGGTTGGCAGTCCAGCTAGTCGAATCGAGAAAGCGGAATTTAAAAACGAAAGAGTAATAAATGACTTTACATATACTGATTTTGATGTCGTGAGAAAAAAGTAATATAGATTTAAACCAATATAATTATTATATAAAATTATATTCATTATATTTTTGTCTTGTATATATTAAAATACATTATACAACAGAAAACATTTGTACTTTAATTTCATCTTTAAACAATTTTGATGAGCTTGACTAAGATGATAACACTACCTAATATTATTCTTTGGTGGTGGGCTTACAACATGTCCGTATATCTATACTGAAACATTGAGAATATTAAGAAATCTTAAACTGCTGAACTATCTTGTAAACTTTAACCTTAAAGAGTATCGTCATATTTAGGATTTGTCTTTCTACAATTAATGATAGCTATATAGTAGCATACGAAAATCGTACACATAGTCTAATAGCTTAGATAAGAACTTCATTAACTGAAAAGTTAATTTAAAAACAAGCCTGTTTTGATGTTTGTTGTGAAAATTATTGGCCTGTTGCTATCGCATAGTAATATGACACAACTCACTTGTATATCCAATTTCGTGAAAGAAGAGTAGTCCAACAGGCTAACATTTTCTCTACAAGCTTCATATTCTGCTTCTACCAAGTCGAACCAATCAGGCTTACCAAAAGTATTAGTCTTTGCCATATATAGTTTGTTGGGATCGACATTGCCAAGTAAATAACCTAAAAACAATAACATTACAATGTCCATTAAATATGAGTAAATAATAGAAATATTAGCCTGGTAAAATTGTCAAACCATGAGCTATTTCTGAATCAAACCACGTCGGCCTTTCATATCCCATCACTTGTTCGAATACAGCTCCAGCTTCTTTTAATTTTGGAGAAATAGGTGACATCCTTAAGTTACGGCCAGTAACAAATTCCAGGTATGGGTAGGGAATTGAATAATGCCTACCTGTAAGTATTAGAATAAAATGTTAATAATTATTATTAACAACAACTAATCTTAAATTAAATTAAATAATACAAAGAAAATGTATAATTTCCAACTTGTACTCATAATTATAATTTTTTTTTAGAAAATATTAAAAATCTAAATATTTTTGCCCAAAATTACTAAAACCACATGTGAACAGTTCATATTATGATTTATTTCCATCTTATTAGAGCTTATAAAAAAAGAGTCTGACATGTGTAACAGGCCAACAAAAAAATGCCCAGCTAATTTAAAAAAAATTATCATTTTGCACATTTTGGTTTCAGCACTAGGGCGACAATATTATATTTTCTGAAAATACCTGGTACTTCTTTAACACGGTCTCTTAAAAATCGTCTGTTATTATGTAGACCTAAAAATCGACTCATATCTATTTCGTACATATCAAATTCTGAATAACCGTTAACAATACACTGAGCGGTCCCTTGTCCAACTCCACCAGCTGCTGAAATGCCAACTGTTTTCATACCAGCAGCTACATAATAGTTTTGAATCTAAAATTAAAAAACAAAACATGTTTTAAACAATTCTAATATGTAATAACTAATATTATAATAGAAAAGCTTTTATTATTTATTGTTGTTATCAACTAACACGGTAAAATAAAATTTGTTCAGGTAAAAAAGTCCAAAATATTACTAATAAAACATTTAAACACGTTCAAGTGAACTACACGAATGATTAAACAAGATCAGCAAGTAATACAATTTTGTTTAAATAATAAAATAACTGTCATGAAAATAACAAAACTGAAAAAAATAATCAATGAAATAGCTATTAAAAGTTGATTATACTTCAGGTGCTCGGCCTGCAATCCATTTGCAATCTGGAGAAAACGTTTCTGCAACATTGACCAGGTTGTCAAGCGTAGCATTTGCTAACGATGGCACTCTATGCAACATTTGCTCGAACAGCACATGAAAATGATCCCAATCTGCAAGTAGTTGTCTCTCTTCCATAGTTTCTGAGAAAAAAAAATGATTTATTTGTATTTGATTAAATACAGAATTTAAATAAATAATTCTATGGTATCATCTTTAACTACTTTTTTTTCATTGTTAGTCACCTGGACATACGCTGTCTTCAAATGTAGGCTTTCCTTCTGGTTCGAATCCACCAGCTAATATGCATCCGTTCATTTCTCGAAAATAAATATAACCATCCTGATCGCGAACGACTTCAGTATTTAAAAAATAAATAATTACAAATAAGTTTGAAGATATTTTTATTTATTTGCGTAAGTCTGTTTGTTTATTAAACCAGTTTTGAATTATATACCTGGAGTTAATGGGTCTAAGTTTGGTATGGGCTTGGTACGAAGATAATAATGTTCCACAGGGTGCAGAGGCACTTTGACCACAGGATTGCTAAGCTGTCCTATTTTACGGGCCCAAAATCCACCACAGTTAACATAATGATCACATTCAACCGAGCCCATTGTGGTATCGATTGCGACTACTTTACTGCCATCACACACTACTTCTAATAGTTTACAATTTTCCATTACTGTAACACCTATTAATTTGAACTAAACTAATTAATACAATTAATAGATATAATTAAACACGGTAACACAAATTATACTTGTATAGAAAATCATGAGGTACCTTTTTGTTTGGCGGCTTCTAGAAGTGAAATACACGTTTTATATGAGTCTGCCACTCCATCACCAGGTATCCACAAAGCTCCTTTGATATCATCAATTTTAATTATTGGACATAACTGTTTTGCTCTACTTGGGTCTACCAATTCACAATCAATTCCCCAAGAGCTAAAATTAATTAAACAAACATTACAAACGATAAAAAGAAAGAACATAATAATTTCTTAAGACCTTACACCGATTGCGATTTCATTCTTCTGAACACGTTCATCCGATTTCTGGTCCGAGCCACACACAAACTACCACACTGCTTCCAACCAGTGTTGAAACCTTGGGATTCCAATTGTTTGTAAAGATCGACGCTAGATTGACATAATCTTACTTGACCCAAGGTAGGTTTAAAAACTCCAACCAGATCTGATGAATACAAATTCTTCCCACCTCCTAACCTGCAAAAATCGACACATTTTAAAACAAATCTACTTTTACATAAATAATAATTGGATAAAAACTTACTTTCCTTGTTCAACCAATAACGTTTGTGGACCCCAGCCCAGTTGAGCTAGATGATAAGCGACCGATGCACCCATTATTCCACCGCCGCATATCGCCACTTTACAACTTTTTGGCAAGACATTAACGTTGGTCGAATAACTTTTATGTTTCACACTGTTTCGGTAATCCAAATAAGCTTTTGACAAAGAATAAATATTTACCACCGGAACAGCGTTTACACGACGATATGATAAGGTTCTTATATAAACCATGATTGAACCCAACGGTTCTATCAACTTTGCATAAATAACATTCCAAAAACTTATAAAAATAATTTAAAATTTAAAACATTGTTATAGAACTTAGAAGTCGGAAAACATTTTTTTATTTTAATTTTATTTTTGTTATCACACATGTGTGTGTTTTATTTTATTATCAAATTTGATAAAGTTTTTGGTATATATTCACAGCTGGTACATCTATTATATTAATCACTTATCACAATATGTATGAAAATGGCGGAAAAAATAAAAATTACACGTGTTAAATTAAAATTTAATAAAAATACCTTCTCAAGTTTGCATCGATGCTAAACTGTGGAATAAAATGTATTTTTTTGATGGAACTCTTTTTATATCATATGTATTTCTGTACTTGTTATTTAAAAGATCTAAGTGAGGAATTATAGTCAAATATGATGGTGCATTAAAGTTTTTATTTATTTTATTGTTCATACTTCATATGAATGAATATGGTTTGATGGGATTGCACACCCCTGCCTGCCTAAATCAAAACCGACTCTTTCACCAGATCCTTGATCTTCATTTGGATTGTGCACTAACAATAATTGATAGCCGCCTATAGACCGCTCGGCCACCCCGACATGTTTATTGAAGGACGATAACTACTTATCTAAACTAAAGAACCGTATGCGGACCCAACCAGAAGTTTACCGCAGTCTCTGTTTACACACAACAATCGGCGGGTTTGTAGGTTAATAAAACAATTTACCAAGCCGGTGTATTAAGTTCAATAATTGAAATTAATAGGCACACACGGTGATTTACTAATTATAATACACCAATAATTGCGTTAAATAGAATAAGACGCGAACGGTCAATGAGACAACGCCAACTCGATGAAACATACCTACTGGCTACTTCATATATTTATATAACACACAGTGTATAATATTAACAGCAATAAAAAGCTCTTGGCCAACAACATGTTATGTGTTATACACACACAATCGTGCATTATTCCTAGTCGGTATTATTATCATTATCATACGGTGAATGCGTGTAATTTGTATTGCGACCGTAAGGCGTCGATTTCCATACAGTAGCCCTTAGGACCGCAATGGACAGTCTCGGTAGGACCTTATAGCAATAAATACTTGTAAAACTTACAATGTCTAACGTCGCCGGACACGCGTTTGCACGTAAGTATATTCATTTTCGAGTTTTATAACTACCTACTTGTTTATTATTTTCGCCGTCGCCGACATTATAATATCTACTGCTCTCGGGTATGATGTATGCGCCTTTCGGGCTCTTGCGAATTATTATTATTATTATTATAACACATGGCCCAAGTGTATATTATGTGTGTGTGTGTGTGTGTCGGACATAAACAACTCGCCGGCAAAGTCGTACACCTCTACCTGCCTTACCTTTGGACTTTCGCCGCTACACCCGCCGTATGTAAGTAATGTATAGCGCAGTAATCAAGGCCGATGCCGAGGCGAGCCCTACAAAAGTATTTACATAAAATTAGTACATATATATATATATAACATAGTATAGAGAGGTTCGCCAGAGATCTCTAAACGCCACGACAGAGTGTAGGTACGCCATTACACGATGGCTCTTGATCTAAACAGGTATTTGTAAAACTTTTGAATTTCCATATCCGTTAACGGTAAGGTAAGACGTAATCTCATAAACACAAGGACTGGGGACGGGACGACGAGTCAGAACGCACGGGCAAATGGCTGCAAAACTGTCATTATAATAATATAGCGTTATTATTTATTATAATTATTAAGTTATCATTTGATTTTTTTCTGTTGCGTTAAACGCCAATTGTTTCTCGGCTACGGATCGAAGTAATATACATTAATTTCTTAAATTTTTTTAATTCCTACTAAACCGACATTTGCGGAGTATTTGTTGTAATATGGTGCCGTCCGCTGTACTTGCTGATTTTCGGATCAATAAGCTAAATAATAATGTACATCGAAGCTGAAGGTTAGTCGTTAGTCTAGCGGGTCTGGTCCATTTTTCAGCATAATATAAATATTACATTTAAATTTTAAAAAAACACTACCTACATAATGTATATACTTATTTGATTTTCATCTATTGCATTTTACCGTGCTTGTACTCAATAGTCGCCAATGCCCCCCCCCCCCCAAGTATATATTCGTGTCCCGTTACCATGTCGTTTTGGCCACGCCTCGGACACTCGACGAGTTGATTGAGGATTTTTCCGTTTTTTTTTTTTTTGTATTATTTTTATTATTTACGATTCTGCCATTTTAGTCTATGTTTATATCTTATAACATTTTATAGAAACCGCCGCCGCTGTCCACTCGGTGCACCGTCCGGTCGAGAAATTTATTTCATTTTCGTTCAAACTAAGCATTACAAACAAGGCCGAAAACGTATAATTTCGAGCGACGGCCTAATTACTCCCACATAATAATATATGCCTGTACATGCACCATATACACAGTTAGGCCAGGAGGATGGACGGAGAGAAAACGAGGACCATAAAAAGCTACCGGGCTGTGGTTTTTATTTCTCGGTTGGATCGCAATTACCCGCCGTAACCAAGCAAGCCTAATATAAGAAGCGTCGTGTATGTATAAGAAAAAAAAAAAGAGAGCTCGTGTTTTTTTTTTTGACAAGCCCCTGGAGCCTGAAAACACTTAACACCGGTTGTGGGAGGAGATCGTACGTGAACGCATTGAGTTTTTCATTCCGACACATTAAAACAAATTACAGGCCACGGCTAGTGTACATATGTATGTATTTGTGTACTATGTACCAACGTGTATCTACTGTTTTTTTTTTTTCATTGCCGGTCCACTATGCATGGCCATGAACGGCAAACTAAATTGACAATCGAAAAATGAAATTATAATAACATAATAACGTCAGTACTGTTAAATATAACAATAAAATAATATATTATTGTTTTCTCAGAACGGCGAAGAGGATGTCAACTCCATAAAAAATAAACGTCTTGAATATTATTCACTAGAATCTTTAGAATACCTCGTTTCTCCCCGGCCTTTGGGAGTTTTTCAAATTGAAACAAATTGGTTGTACAATATTACCAACGAACAACGGTAAAAACTGAACTTTTCCAAATGCGGCGGAAGAGCGATAAAAAGAAAAAAGTAGACTCAGCTTAACTTAATAATTCAACTTAATTATAATAATTAATGTCTTATATTATATAGTAAATACAGGAAAGCTGTATAAAACTGTTCAGTATTTCACGTTCTTTTTTCATTTTCAGTTAAAAATTTACAATATGTTGAAGAGGGGTAGGCTTTAGCTGATGATATTTGCATTTCATTGTTAAAAACAGCTTTATAGTTAACGACATTGACTCCTAAAATATACCTACGTATTTTATAAGTATTCATCATGTTACATAACTCTATTTTAATTCACTATTGAATACCGATTGAAGCGTTTAATTAAACAATATAACGTATTTGCATCTAACATAATATATGCAGCATAGCGGTACATACATATATCTTTTATAATATGTAATGAATAATAATAATAATATAGTACATGCATATGGGCATATACAGCGTGATTGTTTTGATGTATATATTATCACTTCGCTTTGTTTCTAAAAACAAAATGATGAAAAATGAAACAAAGGTGTGTATAAAACTCCAATAAAGAGTTTTTTGATAAATCGCCAACTTGTGATTTTCACATTTAATGATTAATCTTAATCCTATTTACCAGATCAAGTGAATTGGCGAGCTAAGATACGGTTTTCATTTGCAAATACAATTGATGAGAATCAAAATGATATGTTGTTTTTATAACATTTTACAAGAGATCCATATGAACATATTATTTTCAATATATTCATATGGGTGGTGTTCATTAGTTATCTTTAGCATATCTTTTAAAAATGTATGATAAGTGATAAGACAAACACAGATAGAAAAAGGTCTCATTGTTAAACACTGTATGATCAACACCCTGATACCCTTTTGGTTTCGATCACTTTAAAAGAGGAAACACAAGTATTTCTTTGGAAGTATTTTTGAAGTCGTGCTCGGTTAAAACTAAGCTCTAATCGCTAGTAGTTATGTTGTCTCACACAGAAATGTACAAATATCAATGTTTTGAAAACATTGTTTTTATGAGATTAACTGCTAAATTGTTTTCCGATTATTTCCACGCTCTTCGTCTCAGTTTTTATCTTTCTTCTCAGATCTCAAGTTCATATTTTAATATTTTGTGCATTTTGTGGACGCTATAGTTGTGCGCATTCAAGTTATTTGGCTATTGTACGTTATAATTAATGACCGATTGTTAATATGGGAAACACGACTATAGGATTCCGGTGACAGTATAACCAGCTATTACGACGTGCTAAAATCATTGGACGGTCAAAGGTTTTTTAGGACCCTCGCGGTTTGCATTATTATAATAATTATATTGCTATCGTCGTGTGCGTTGATGAGACTAGACTGTTTCAAAAGCGACACCACCGTCGCACCGAGCTATATATATACTATCACATTGGCATATTTATTATTCGTTTTAAGCGCTTCGTAACGACCGCGTGTGTTTAGATCCCTAAGTATACGAGGACGGCGAACAGACAAACGCGCGCGGTCACGACGCGTCCTCCTCTCACTGCGCTTGGGCTACCTTACCAGCTGCCGGTCCTCGCGCTGTTGTTGCCGTTGATTACGACAAACGTGTAACGGTCGGTCCGATAACCATCGCGTGTGTCGCTTGTGTATAAGTATTGAGTACACGGGTGTTTGGCGAGAATACGCTAATTAAACTGCCGGCAGCATTTTCTCCGTTTCGGCCAAAGCCAATCGACCGATTGATAAGAGTGCCGCGACACTTTTCAACGGGCAGCATATGGGTCGTGACCGACTGGTGATAGGTCTCTGATAGTAATGCGCACACATAACATAAGCTTCGGCTTGTAGAATGAGGATCGGCAAAAGCGTACAATAATTGTACGCACGACTTCGAAAAAAGCCAACAACGTCGCCTGTTGCGTCGCAGGACATGCATCGCGTATTACCTACATTTATTTTTGATAGGCGACGGCAGCGTCGTGGACCTCCGACACTGTCCTTTGGCGCAAACCCTATGAAGATAGGGGGCTTGTAAATAGAT